AGGTGTTGAAGTTAAGGCTCATGTGGCAATTCGTCAGCTTTATTTTAATATATCTCAATGCATTCTAAGTGACTTTTCCAGATCAGAGTAATTTAGTAAGTTGAGATAAAAGTAACGAAAAAACTTTCTATATCTGCGGCATGGCAGGTAGAGTATTTGCTAGTGTCAATACTCGCGTTGTCGCGATAGGGTTCTAGAAATCGTACGTGAAGCGGTTATTCTTTCAGTAGAAAGAGCGCAAAGGGAAATAACTACAAACGAACGATCAGAACCATCGGCTTTGTGAGAGAGGGCACTAGGACTACAAAATCAAACGTCAAGCCTTACTCCATCCTTAAAGCGGCGTCGGATTGGACTATAATGACGGATATTTATGAGAAACAATCCAAATCCCAGAGGAGATTTGTAGGTCGGTCTAGAAACCAAACTTATTTATGTAGTTGCGAATTTTAAAGCGCTTTGTATTAATAGAGCTTGGGGTTGTGGGAAACTAACTTCCCCAAACACCATGTCAGCAAGGTCTATAAGTATTAAGAGCGCACTAACGAACTCACTAACATAGACTTGGGTCGCAAGTAATAGGTACTGTTGAAGCTCCTCTCTCTGCAACGAGATGGACCCGGTACTGTTAAAAACTATTTATTTTCAGAACATCGCTGCTGTATATGATTGCTTGTTACTAGAACCACTTATGAGTGCTATAAAATATATAAATTATTGTATAAATTTCTCCCTCTCAGTATTATTTACAAAATGTGAGAAGAAAACGTCATTTTTTTATTTATTTCCCCTATTTCTTGATTTATCATCATGAGCCTATTGGAGCTCCAGGGTTTGAACCCGCGCTCTCGTGCACTGCGAACATTTAACCTCCAGGCCACAACGACTAGGTCTCTTTCTTAAGTTCTTGATTATCAAGTACTTATGTTCTATAATAATAATCTGAATTATCACGTCTTCACCTGTTCATGAACCTCTTTAAAGAGTCTAATTGGCGAATTAATTAATGTTTTGTGTCTGCTCTTCTTTTTCTATTTAAAATCCAACGCCGCATTCAAATCGGGCAAAGGTTAATATAATTCATGGTAATGTATAGTTTCTGTGTTTCACACCTAATCCAAGAGAACACTTTAAGAACTATGTATTTGAATTTAAATACGACAAGTTTTTTAATGTTCCAATTGTTTATGAAAATATTATAAGGGCAAACTTTAAAGAAAATTAAAATAAAACTGTTCATGGTAGTGTGAGATAACATTAAAAAAAACATTTATGTGAAGTAATTTCACCATAATTAAAGGTAAAAAGTTTAAATTATAATATAACATTATAACTACGTATGTGTTTTATTGATATTCTACAACTACTAAGCTTGTTTGAAATAGATATTAAAATAAAAATACCGAAAAGAATTAGAAAATTTATGCTATGATTAACGTCATAAATCTCAACACTAAAGAACCTGAGTAAACTTCACAGCAACAAAAACAAAAAATATAAAAAATAACTCATTATTTATTATCTGTGGTTCAAATTTGCGTAAAAAAAATGCAGTTCATATAAAAGGTTTTGTTCACAATATATAACCTTTACCTACTTGAATACGTTAAGCACCAATTGTCTATAGATTTTTGCAAAGGAGTATATTCAACGAAAGCATTGTGCAATAATAAACGCTGTTATTTTGTAAACAATATAAAGAACATTGTTGTTAACGAGAAACAAAAACCTACGTCGAATTTTCAAAGAATTCGTTTATAACTTCGTAGAGAAACTTCTGTTTGGGAAAACTAAAAAGTTTCAAACTCTGAAACTCGGAACAGCCTAACCTTGTTTACAAAATGAAATCCTCTCAGTGCGATTCCGAGAAAATTTATTATAATTCTTTTTTATTATTCAGCCAGAATAAAAATATTGTATTAAAAATTTGTAAATATTACCGGAATATACTTCAAGCTATACGATTTTGCAAAAAAAAAAAACGGTAAATCTGACCTCACTCAGTAGTAACAAACCAGTAATTAAAATATAAATCTAGGAATTAAATAATCGACCTTTTGAATCTGTGCCGCTATGGCGCCGAAGTTATGACCTTAAAAATCAGGCAAAGTTCAACTTTGTTCAACATTGTAATAAAAAGAAGTATTGGGAACTAAATACATGTACCCATTTATTTAATTTTGCTAATTTTATAATTACTAAGACTACTGGGTAAAAAAGTACTGATGGGTTTTTTAGTAGCAAAGTTACTGTCAACATTTTAATATTATTTTTATTAATATAACGGCAATAAATATTTTAACAAAGGATTATAAATCTTACGCCAAAACAAATAAAAGTTATAACTGTATGTACATGACACAACAGTAGTAAACCCATACACGTCTCCTCTAAGTAAATATATGAAGCTAGCTAATGCCCTCGACTTTGTCCGCGGTGTTATATAATATTAATGTTTTCAAATAAAAATCGTTGTTGACATGCTTAAAATTTTATTGACCTTAGATTAAATGAAGATATAGTTGTATTTTAAAAGAAATACAACTTATAATATTGAAAAAAATTTCAGTTTCTTCGTAGTGATGTGCACGCACTCACAGACGACTATCATTTTATTTATATAGTAATTTAAGACTTACTTTTATATCTTACTCTTCGCCCTAATTATTTTTTTTATTTAATATGTATTTAATAATATATTATAAAACAATATATAAATATCAATTATTTCGTGCTCATTATTTAAATTCGAATATCAATATACGATTGACTAATAAATTATATATGTTGGTAAGCACTAACTTATGGATCTACGATTCAAACGTCATCTGTCAGAATTTTTTTTTTATATTTGCATAAAAATATACCCTTGCTATATGGTTCAATCGTTACTCAGAAATATATAAATTATATGCCAAATTTTATCTGAATCCTAAATTTTATCTCGCGTTTTCGTAAGTAAACAACGCACACATTTAAACATATTTTTATATTTACAATAGGCAGTAGTGAGCTTAAATAAAGTCATTTATAAGTATAGATAGTCATTATCTCGGCGCCATGTAATAAAAAGTTAATATAAATAATAATAGCTTAATGGCTTTTGACATAGAACTTAAATATGAAAATATTATTTATAAAAAAATTATAAGAAATCTACTATTTATTTGTATTCGGTAATATCAATAGTGACTAAATAAAAGTTTTTATATATGACTTTTTAAAACCTTTTTGCTGGCTATTAAAAATATATTGATTCGTTTTATTTTAAGAAAGGCTGGAACGACTTATATTTAAATTTAAATAAATCAGTTTTGAAATATTATAAATAGAACAATCTAGAAAACAATGTTATAACAACAATACACATCCATTTAAATTCAATCTAGTTTATATAAGTCTGTAAAATATGTTTCTTTTTATAAAAAAACAGAGAGCTAATAAATTAACTTTTCATACATAAATCGTCTTTAAAGTATCGACATAATAATTTGAATGTCTAATACTTGTTACATTCTAATAAGCCTGTAACCAAAATGGGATTTTTTTTCACATTTAATAATATTTCAGCGAGCATTTTTCAGTTTTCTATACAGAGACATAGATACCGACTTTTTTATTATAAGTTAGACAATATCATTAAAAAAAATAGTTCCTATATATTGAAACGGAAGTTAATAAAAATGTAAATTGGTTTAATGCGAGCTAATAACATTATCTAACACAGGATATAACGTTGTGTACTCATCATCATTGTTTATTTATATTTTAGGCAATGCTAAATTGGCTCTAAAAACCGCTACGTATGTACCTACTTTAATTCGAAGTAGGTTATAGTTGCTTACGTAAGCTTGTAATTGCATTATATACCTACCTACGTTCTCTTTACGTTCATAGTAAAATACCTAAACATTTGACATCTACTTTTTACTTATAACTATCTCGCTCACTCGTGTAGGGGATTATTGTTCATGGAATGCGCGCGTCGGCAAGCCTCGTGACACAGATCGTAAGGCGGACATTATAGATTCTTCCATTAAGTTTTAGCTTCTATCCCAACGAAATAAGGTTGGTTTTAGAAATAACTTTTTTTTAAATAATTCTTACGTACTCTACAACTTCGACACGAGGCTAACCATAGTGACTACCTACTTTGTAAGAGTACATTCATAAATCTTATTTATTAGACATATTTGTTTTTTTGTTATTTGTTAATACACATAAAAAATAACTTAATATTCGATAGTTTCTATGTATGATTTTTATCCACGGAATACTGGAGTCGGTTTAAAAATAGTCTTATAGTTTGGGAACTAAAAATGAAAAGTCCTTGAGAACAAGCCTCACGGGGAGTGCGGTTACGTCACAGACTTGATTTTCGTAGGTATGTATATCGGTTCCACTGTCCTGATTGGCCAACAGAGCCTTGTTGGCCGCCATTTTGAACGAAGCTGAGTCACCAAAAGGTGAAAAATGTACATGAATTAATGCGCACTCCCCACGAGACTATACAACGGTATTGGGCATTTCCCTCGTGAACACAAAATTTTGGGTTTCATGTTCTTTCGTTCGTAGCGTGGAAACAAAATTTGATTACTACACGTTGAAAGGTTAAAGAGCGTTCGGAATATTTATTAAGTCATTTGAAATATGCCGGAGAACCCGTAAAGTTAAAAGTTTGATACGTCAAAACGGAAGTTTACATCCCGTTTAAAATCACAGAGACCGACAAGTGGAGATTGAGTGATTAGTTTCTCAAATTGGTTCACAGATATTAATAATATACCTTACTGATAACAATCGAATAACCTCTAATGTTGTGTGTACATCGCTAATCTGACTTAAGTGATTATTTAGTGTTGTGAACATCATGTTTACCAATTGTGTTCAGTGGTGTGCGGATCTTGAAAACACGATGTAGCCGAGTTATACAGTGTCATGTTAATATAAAACTCGAGTGTGTCGTGTGTGTTTGATAAAAAGTATTTTCCCGCCTCAATATGACGGAAACGGTGAAGATAAAAACTGAACGGCCAGATGAAGCCGAGATCAGGGAACTGGCTGCTAAGATGGTGGAGGCCAATAAGGCGAAAGCCTTGGCCGCGTCGGTGGCGGCCGCGCGACCGCAACCCGGCGCGCTGCTGGGAGCTTCCGCGCCGGCTGTCGGCGGTCAGATGGGTATACTTAACTTTCTTACAAGAAAACCGGGAACAACTCAGCCTGCCGCCGAACAGAGGCCACCGGCTGATGATAAGAAGACCCCGGCTCCTGACGAAGCGAGTTGGAAGGGTCACTTCGGCTGGGACATGCTCGGTAAATGTCACATTCCCTACATATACCGATCTGGAGAGAAGTATGTGGCCGTTCGTATGGTAGAGATCAAACTCCTAAACAAATACCTGAATTACCTCCACGCAGACATATACTCGTGCACTTGTATAAGAAGTTACTACATCACAGATATAGAAGCGAGATTACTCAATGAGATCAACAATAGGCATTGTGACGGCCAGTTCGGTCGGGAGCCGTTTACCCAGAAGGATCTGGTCGTCCGGTTATCTGATGCTTACGAGTTCTATAACTTCCTAGACGTGTGTTACAACAAGCTTCTACGAGGCACTACAAATAACAAGGATAAGTGTGGCTTCATTAGGATAAATAAAGAATCTGTAGTTCCCTACACAGTTAGGGACAGTCAGAAGTTTGTGCCGTTGTTCTATTTCGAAGGAGAGACTGACAATTTAAAGTTAAAGGCCGACCAGTTGAAAGGTTGGGACTTATCGTACTTGAAGTTCTGTTGTAAAGTGCAAGGTATAAGAAATGAACTGTTTGCGAGTGAGACATGTTCAGTGATCAGTTTGACGGACATTAAGAGTTACTTCCCACCGGGTACCGAGTTTGAGGAGTACTGGCCTAACAAAGTGGTCGATTCACAGCTACTGATATCTGCTAAAGGTAATATTACACATGATATGTCTGATTTAATCAAAATAATAAGTTTAATTTCATTAAAATCATATTGGAATCTAATTATTGTTATATATTAAAAGTATATCAATAGTTTGTCTTTAATAACTAGTCTAATAGCTTAGCTATAGAATTATTTAAGTGTTCATGAAGTCGGTACAAATATTAAAGTAACATCATATATATGTCTTGACAAAAAATTATTATATATAATAATAAACATAGTTATATTAGCCATATACATTGTAGTAGAAACTTATATTTTTTTCAATATTCCTATAACAGAAATATTGTTATGAATCCTCCCACAGCAACAAAAACAAACATCTCATACACAGTATATGAAAGGACATATTTATAAACATTTGTACATAATAAGCAATACCAGAAGATTTGGAATCATAATATATATTTGATTATTATGAATTTTATTTTTAATAACTTATTATGAAAAAATACATCAATAATAGTATTTAAGATAATTAAATTATACTATATGGTGAATAGAAAAATTTACCAATAATTTTTTTGTCAATAAATTTATATGGAAATTATAATAATCTTGAACCAAATGGCTAACTATAATCCAAAATTTTCTCTATGTAATTATGAAAATTCTTCTCTTGTTTATATTATTATAAATTATATTTACATTAATAAGAGATGAAAATATGTAAAGAATACTATTACAGCAAGAAAAAATACATAAAAGATATTAGTTCATAGACTTGGTTTGAACCTAAAAGTACACATAATGAATTGAAAGAAATTAATTGTAAAAAATCTTTTTTTATATATATCTATAAATTAACCTCATATATAGAGATTAAAAATATATTGTCATTCTTGTTTATAATAATATTTTAAATATATATACCTACAAAGATTATACTAAAAAACTTTATTAAGAAATCTATGAGTTCAAATGATAAACAATTAAATTGAGTTATGATTCAATAATATAATTTTTAAAGAAATATAAATAGTGATATTACTTTATACCTTTGAGATGAATTAATGTAATGATTTAAATATTTAATGTGACAATACACACCATATGGCTCCAAGGTTTTACCTGTGATTTTGTACCTTTAATTTCTTATATACTAAAATATAATAAATGTCAACTAAAAAAGATTTCATACATAATTAGTAGGACAGGTTATTTTTAAAAATATATTTATAAGTAAATAGTACTTTTTATATTAAGTCGCTATTGCTTTTATATTTATAACTAACTTTATGAATGTGAAAATTATATGTGTACACATAAAATTATAGAGGTCTAAATTTGATTGTGTATGACGAAAAAACTTCTGGATAAATATCCATTAATTTGTTTTTAATATATTTCTTAAATAATAGGTTCTTCTCTTTAATAAAAAAGGCGATATCTTCATTTAATATAAATTTATTACATGTTTAAAGAAATATTTTATACTCACTACGTGTTTGTTGATGAGTTTTTTTAAGTACGAAAACTTTGTTAATGTAACAACGCGGACGAAGACGCGGGCATTGGCTAGTAATACAAGTATGTACGAAAGTTGTAGAGCCTAGTTTCATTCAAAACCAGCAATGACAAAGTTTCATTTAATGAGTTATAATGAAGAGAGCCCTGAGTATTTAACTAATCTCATTATAATTTAGGTTCTAAAAATAATTTAATTAGAATACATATTTAATTACAAAAAAACAGCGATAGTACATCCGAAAATATTAGTTTTATTGAAATGAAACTGTAGTCTTAGATATCAGTATAAAAAAATACTGTTTGTAAAAAAAGGCGAAATCTTAGCGTAAACAAAATCACTTGCGTATAATTCCGTTCATATTCAATAAGAAAAAAATATATAAATACTCGAAAATAAAATTTAAAAATACGTTAATAAATAAATGATACGAAACTTGTAGCCAAATAATTGTAGCATGTTTATTTTTAATTACTATGTATAACTATGTTATATATTTATATAGTATAACATTTTAGTAGTGATAATTATTATCTGTGACATCTGTATGAGATAAATGTTTTACAGCCTCCGTTGTACTCAAAGCTGTTTGGTATTGAGGTTAGACCTTCAACAAATCCTTGACACGAAAAGAATTTTTGCGTTAACCGGCCGACTAGAAGTTTCCTTTTTAATATTAGCTATATATAAATATAAACATTTATATATTTATTGTATATAGTCGAAATATTTAGACGTGGCTAAAATTAGTTTAAACTCAATCTTTTTGTAAATATTAACATTTCACCAAGAATTTACGTAAATTTATAATTTTTTAATTAGAAGCAATACAGTATTATTTATTCTTGTTATTTTTATATTTATTTATATATTATACTGTATAAACCTTGTATATATGTTTAATTTCAAAGCTTAAAAAATCAATCTCAATAAAATGTATGCGGTTAGCATTATTTGTTATTGGCAGATTTATTTCGATTTAATAGTTTAGAAAATTATGTATTTACTTTGTATTTACAATGTACTAGTATTAAGTGTCGCCAAAAAGAATAATTATTAAAAAAATATTAGTATATTTGACAAATTCTCAATACGAGTTAAATATTATATATACTTTTACTGTACAAACAACCCATACGACATGTTTGCAACATTACACTACACACGGAGAGTTAATAGTTTTTTTCAATAAATAAATCTATATTGATAATATCACGTGTGAGATTTATGAATAAAAAACTCGTTACGCTCCGAAACTCGTGAGACGATGTAAAATGGTCCTAAGGGTTATACGTTAATAGAGCACAGAACTATGCTTGCTTTTTAATGTTAAGTTTATGTCTAAAGTGTCTAATACCATTTGAGTGCAGTGATTTTAAAGTTATTATTAATGTATGTGAGTTTTACATGGAAATTCGTGTTTGTTTGATTTCAATCGTATCGTAAATATAAATGTTGTATGAATATAAGGTATCACGAAATTATTTTTATCGAATGCCAATAAGAATCTTTTGTGTATTAATTATGTATTAAATTATGTATATATAAATGTCGTCACTTGTAATATCATATACGCGTTAGATAATGGCCCATAAATCTACACCTGGGTCGTATGTCCCAGGCACTTTTAAAGCTCTCTCTTTAACGCGATGGATCCTAAATCCGCGCGGTGAATCTATTGAATTCTAAGAGGTTTCGTTTCATGATCAAGGTTCAGTGTCTGGTGGAGGTCAATGGACGCGAGCGCCCCCAGCTCCTCCGCCAGCTGTTGGTGTGGGGAGCAGCGTGTCTCTCACAAGTGTACCTCGGGGGCGGCGCCCTACTCAGCGTCACTCGCCAGCCTCAGCTGCCATGCAGATGCCCCACGCAGGCCTCTCAGCGGCCGCTGTGCAAGCCCTAGCCAATGGTTGGAGCCTCCCTGGGTCTCTAACACAGGCACAGACACAGCAAGTCCTTCGGCTAGCACAGGTTTGATATACATTAGATAGATCTACTTTCAGCACATACCAGAGGTTTAGAGATCTTTATTTTCCAAAAAAGACACAAAGTCACTTACATGAAAACAAAAAATTCAAGTAGTATAAAATGTCGTTTTTAAGATATAATTATTAATTACATAACGAGTTGTTTGTTTTACTCATTCAATTTACAAGTGGGTAGTTTTGTACAATATATTCCGATAGTTTAGTTTTGAATACATTAAATGAGTTTACAGATTTTAAAGTAGACGGCAATTCATTATAATACTGAGGCGTTATCTTAGTTTCGTAGGTATTTTAATACAAGTAAAAATGTCTCGTAAATAATTTTGATCTAAACACGTGGTGATGGCACTAATGTTTACAATGTCTCCCACATACGTTACAGTATACTTGAGTAAGTCCAGACTTTCACAAATACACGTATTTCAGGTTGCCCACAAACGGCTCAGGCATGCACAAATTTTCGAGTGCGCATACATGTAGAAGCTGCTTATGCTATGGCTAAAACTATGGCAGTAGTTAGCTTTATTTTAAGGATAAAAAAACTTTAAATTCAGAAGAGATATCGAATTACATGGATTAAAGACTGCTTATTTTTTGTCTCTTGTGGTATTCTTTTCTTATTATTTGCCAAAAAATGGCTCATTCCTATGTGTATTTATAAATTCTTCTATTATATCGCGAACTCCATGCCTCTGTAGTCTCGTTCATTTTGGCGCGAAAATGCCGTGCACATGTATGTGATTAAAACTGAAACTTGCAAAATGAAAACTGCTATTACACACGTTTATGAAAACTTGGGCAAACGCAATTTTGCACAAGTTGGAGATTTTACATTTGGAACTTTTTGAAATAATTGTGCATGTCAGAAATTTGCGTAGTTTTCTTCCAATACACATTAGTCTACTCGTGCAAGTATATTGTAACGTATGTGGCTGGCATATGCCTATACAGGGTGACTGGTGAATTAGTATCGATATTTGAGGACGTGATATTTGACGATCATATATGACAAAATAAAAATTAATATAACATAAATATTAATAAACTTCTACGTAAAGTTAACCAAAAGTTATGTAATTAATTACGCATCGTATGAACACCCTACAGATTAGGTATACACACACACTCACACAGACGCGGCGGCGGCGTAGTGTTGTATCAGCACGCCGCCGTACGCGTCCACACTTGGAACACTTGGAACGTGTACACACTTTATTTATTTATACGGAAATTTGGTCAAAAATTAAGTACCTATTTTTTTTACATAATTCGAATGAGAATCATGTACCGAGTATGCTCCTTAAATATTGATAGTAATTCACCAGTCACCCTGTATATTTTACAGTGGCTACAATAAGGATTTATGCTTTTCTTGTGTTAAAAAAGCTATGATCCTATGTTTTAATTCTATCAGTAATCCCATGGAGTACGATAACGTTAATGTAAAATTCAGACCACAACAGCGATTGTTTGTAATAGTAACAACGGTAACACTGGCAAGGTCACGTTTGTTTCTTCCAACGTTACGAAATATTAAGTAGCCGTTCAAGGCTTAAAAATAGAGTTATTTCTTAATGTTTCCTTGAATTTCTAAAATGATATTAATTGTAATTATCGAATTATAAAGCAGTATTAGTAAACATACATTCGCGTTTCATATAACAAATAATTCTTGTCACTTACCTATCCTTTTATATGTTATGCTCGAACATTTATTTTTTTGTTATATGAGTGAAAAGTACGCTCGTAAAAGTACTAGTTTTTTCAGGCGACTTCGTCTGTGTAGTATATGTAATAGGACTGAGAATAATGTATGTGTTAAACCGATAGATACGGTAACTAACTGGCAGCGACATCTATAGTCTGTATCATGAACTTTAAATATAAAGTATAAAGTGCTTTGCTGTGATCTTTTGCTTGCTTTGCTTTGCTCTTTTAAATTAAATCATATCTGATTTTAAAAACAACATAATTTTATATATTCATATAGTACTTTTTATTCGAAAAGAAACACAAACAACCATACATCCTTCAAAATTGATGGTTTTATTTTATTATAATGATAATTGGTCCAATCTGTCAAAAAAGATACGCAGTTTTTATTGAAATAATTATGTAGTAATAACTTTATACACTGTTTTATTTATTTACATGAGTTTGTATTATTCTGGTCAAGTATAATATAAAGATGGTATCCCTCAGGCGCAAGTGGCTGCGCAGGCGCAGGCAGCGGCGCGGTACAACAATGCTGCTATAGCAGCAGCGGCTGCAGCACTGCCGCAGCATAGGTCGCAGCATTCCAGGACCGTACAGGTAAAAAATATACACAATATATATACAGACACGATACAGTCTTATAATAAATACGAGAGTCTACTAAGTTTAAGCTAGAATATTTTCTAAATTAACGACTTTTAAGGTGAAACTAATATTTTCGGATTTTTACTTCGCGTTTTATTTTTGATTAGAAACTACATACTCCTGACGTTTCGGCTACTTTTCAGCAACCGTGGATCACGGTAGTTAAAATCCGAAAATATTAGTTTCATTTAAATGTGTACTCGCGAAAATCTAAGATCTCATTATGACTTTTAAGGTATTTTTTTCACAATTCGTAATTAGTTAGTGTATAAGCGACGATAAGTATAGTATATAAATTTTGCTTAGTCCAAGTTGAAATAAACTACAAAAAGAGTGTTAACAGTATTCGTATCTTCGCACATGATACTGTTAACGCAGGCTATTGAACGAAAAACGCGAAAAGTATCGTATGTCATGTGATAATGAAGACTTGGACTAAGGATCCTTATCTCAAAAGCAGTATTTGTCTCCCAATTGGTATTTGAATATAACTTTGAATGTTTCACACAATACATTACTGCTAATTGTTGTAATAACTCCATTGTCAAAATTCTAAGTATTTTTATTCGAAGATTGCATGTGAATTATTCAGAATTGTCTATTTTATATCTTATAATATTCACCCGGTATAGTAATTGATTATTACCGCCCCCTTCCCTGACGTTGGCTGAATATACTATGCACATAAATATACCCTTTTCTCGTATACAAGTTTAAAAAATGACAACCTGTATATAAATATCCGTAATTCCAGTTTCCGAACAGTGCGATAACAATGGCGATGAGCCAACAGCCGCCGCCGCCGCTGGTGAGGAGCTCCGCCAACACCAACACTATGAAGTGAGCCAACAAACACTTTGTGAACATCCTATATAACAGTGAACATCCTATATAACATACACAATTTACAACTAGAATTATATACAGCTGTTCATTATTTTAATTACTTGATATAAGTTTCAATTCATTATGTGCATATATAGAGTGTTCACAAAATGTAACTCAAATCGCCATTGTGACATTGCATAACGGAAACATTATATATTATAACCATTTAATACTAGTGACATTTAAGTGGAGGCCATAGAAATATGTCTAAATAAGAATAAATATTGAGCTGTTATATAAAACGTGGATTGTCGGCTGCGATGTTGTTCTCTCTTTCTCTCTCTCTCTCCGTCTCGTGTATTAATAACTCTCCTTTCCTCAGTGTACCCCCACAAGTGACTGGCTCCATGAATGGTCACACTACCTCTCACTCAGTGGACACTCGCAAACGACTCACTCCAATACCAGAGATCAGTATAAGTGGAAACCATACGCCGTATAAGGTAACAATATTATAATATTTACAGTACCACAGAATCTCTACTAACATTATAAATGCGAAAGTAACTCTGTCTGTCTGTTAGTTACGCTTTCACGCCTAAACCACTGAACTGATTTAAATGGAATTTGATACAGAGATAGAGTTGACCTTGAGAAAGAACATAGGATAGTTTTGAAAGGTTCTCTTGGAAACGCGATATGACCGAACTCGACGCGGGCGAAGCTGCTGGCGGAAAGCTAGTTATATTTATTTAGTTAGTTATATATTTTATAACATCTTTCAAACTTTAATAAATAATTTAAACAAACAAATCTTAAATACTTGTAAAATAAATTATATTTATTTGCACCTATTACTGTTTTACTGATATCCCTAAATGAAAAAAGTGCATATTTCTCATATATTGAATATTATTACCAGGTCCAAAAAGCGTTGGTAGAGAACACAATGGTTCCGTGTATCAATGCTAAGCCGTACCAATATGCTGATCTCCTAATGACCCTACCTGACCTCGCCAGCCATTTCTTTCCACGGGTGTCTCTCACAAACTGCAGGGCCATGTTAGATGCTCTGGAACTAACGCTATATAGACCCAACTCGTAAGTAATGATAATAACTATTACTATAATATACTCAATTCCTTTTAAAGTTGAAGAGTTTAGTATGTATCTATACTAATATTATAAAGCTGAAGAGTTTGTTTGTTTGTTTGAAAGCGCTAACTACTGGTTCGAATTGAATAATTATATTTGTGTTGGATAGTCCAGTTATCGAGGAAGGCAGTGGGCTATATAACATCACGCTACGACCAATAGGAGCAAAGATATAGTGGTAAATGTGTAAAAAACGGGAGAAATTATTTCATCTTTGAAGCCTTCCGTTGCGTGGGCCGTGAAAACGGTTCAAGATACACAAAAAATATGTATTAAAGAATAATAGCTCTTTTAATGATCTAAAAAACAGTCCGCGACAGTATATATGTCTATCTTTTAAGATTAACTCACGAAAACCGTTTTTATGGTACCTAATTTGGTCGAAATAATTTGTTTAAGTTGTATCAACATAATAATATTAATCTTTATTCAAATAGACAAATAAATATGTTGTTGGTTAAGGGTACTTCATTGTGAATTTAAAAAAAAACATAGAACTCGACCATTCCGAAAACCCCGCAAGAACGGGAACTATGTGGGAAGAACCAAAAATCTGCCGGAAGTCACTATTCCACGCGGACGAAGTCGCGCCAAAAGCTAGTTATGAATAAAAATGAAGTAGACTTAAGATAATTTTTATTCTATAGATTAGATATAGAATGTTCATTAAAACCGTTTTAATTTGAACTTTAAAATGTTTTGCATATTGAGTGAATTTGTTTTTCAGTTATACTATTTTGAATGTAAAAAATTGTTAGTCTATTTATGAAGAGGTTTCTGTATTTGCTTGTTTTAAGTAATAAAATATATATAAAATTACAGTACACAACTACAAGTGCTGCGAAACTCTGGCAAGTGTAAAACCGCTGCTGCCGGCGAGAATAGTATGGCGTTGGTTCAGATCCGTGACGTCATGCAGCATATGCCCCAGATAAAATACATGCTGCGGTCAGGACTAGCTAACGATGAGCCTCTGCAACCTCCTCGACCAGCCCACGCACAGCCGAGCCACGCTAAGAGGGCTCGGGCCAATTAACAGTGGACAGTGGGCTGGATATAGCCCCAGATGAACTAATTTGGTCATTTCTCTAATAATAGTGTGTAGTTATGAAGAAACTTGGTGTACATTAACATGGAAATATTAATATTATGGACTTTATAGTGAGTGTTGCAAGGAAATGCAGTTAAAAACTAAACATCGGTTAGTTAACTGATTATGGGTCAGAATTAAAGTGTATGGACTATTAAGTTTGGTTGTTGATATATGAGAGGCATAATAATGCTGTTTGTAAGTGAATTAGCAATAATTCAGTTTCTTTAAAATGTTAATGAAGTGGCTTGATGTTTAAAAAATTAAATTTTTCCAAAGTCGAAGCATTATAAGCCTAGACATAGTTTGACTGTTATAATAATTTCACTATGTAGGGATTGTAGGAAAAGTTAGTGAACGAAATTATTATTCAAAATTAAAACTAAATTTATTTTTAATTTATATTGAAAAAAATTGTCCCCTCTAAAACTTTACATCACAATAATCTAAATAGATTTGGTTATTCAGATACTTGTGCATTACACAATATATTATTTAATTTCTGTGCAGATAATTGTCACAGTATGACTGAAATTTACATATATCTTGTGCGATGTCCAATATTGATGGGGCTTCCATCTATATACTATGATTCAGTACTGCGGTTGTACCAATACAACCTGAATTAATACACTTATAGTTTTAGGTATCAAAATATAAGCTATGTCAATTTGTATGTGTTGTACAAAATTTAAGATACACGAAAAAAATAAACCCTAAGATCTAATTTAAATGATCTATATAAACTATTTAATAGAAGACTGAGAATTTTATTTTATAATTATTTCTTAGATCGAAAATGCTATTGATGTTGTGCAAATATAGATTTTAGTTGAGTTAACCGATCTTCTTGTATGTATCAAATTTTATGTACAATATGTAAATAAATATAGTACTGCATTAATGCAAAATATTTAGCTATACATATGAATGATTGTAAAATATACGTTATCACATAGTGTGGGCTAAAAGACATAAAACATAGGTAATTTAAATACGCTTAAATAAAACATCACAATTATATATAAAATCCAGTATTAAAGTTTTTTATAATATAAAGCTATTACAATCACAAATTTATTGACGTATTTTTTTTTGTTCCTAATCTATGTTTCTTTAAACTTCTACTTTAATGATTCAATTGATGCATGGAACTTTGCAAAAAATATTATAATTTTGCTCTACCTTATAGTTAAACCAAACTACTTAAGAAATATTAATGGAATGTTAATTTTGATACTTGTCTTAATGATCATAAAATAATTCCCAATCTCTCCCAGTGTAATCTGCTAGTTTTAATTTAAATATTATCACAAGTTTAATGAAATGATAGAACTTTTGTTCCTATTTACTTTACTAGCTCGAGATAGCTTGCTTTTTAAGAAAAATTTACAAGCAAAGGAAATTAATAATGAACTCACTCGGAGTATTTTAAATAGTTAATTTGTATATTCAATAATTTGGTGACATGAAAATTAAAGGTAAAATTTTATAAAGAGCATTACTCGGAGCAAGTCCAATAATGAATTCTCTGTGTAGACAGATTTTTTCTTCACAATTTTATTTATTTTTGCTGTAACTTAGCTTCTAGTGTAGGACACTTCATTATATGAAGTGATGTAAACTTTGTTTAATATAATGCAGAGCTGTGTATATTGTATGCTAAATTATTTATGTATAGACTAAGATACAAAACTATTTGATATGTTATCACTATAAATTCGCAATAGCTCTTCAGATTGCAGTGTCTTTTGAGTCTTTGACTCTGTATTGCAAAATAAAGAATACTTTATAACAAAAACATGTGTTTATTTCCTTGTAGTGTATTGTGTTGTATTTTTTAAGGCTAGAGACCGTCAGGTAAAGACGTGATGAAGGGGGATCCCGTTAATTCTGTGATCTGTGAAGTGGGGAGGGAATCAAGTGTTATCTTTCTTAACTCATTTGGAGGGGGAGGGTTATCAAAATTACAAAATTATTTTCTTGCAGAAATCTAATTAATTATTCACAAAAAGCTGTCTGCTAGTCTTCAATAAAAGATGTTTTTTCTCACTAGTCCAACTCAAATAGAAGTTTTATAGATTTTCGCGCCAAACAATGGGGAGGGGGAGCGATTTGAGTAAAATCTTAAGATATCTTACCAGTGAATTAGATCAAGAAATTAAAAAAGTACTCCACTTAATGGACATCTAAATTTATACATAGATTTGGTGTCTATTCTAAAGAGACTTTTACTTTGTTATAATTACGACCTTAAATAATACGGTAATCTGGTCCAATATTGTATTAAAGTAAGGATAACTGTTAATTCCTCTAACTTTTAAAATTCAAACTGATCACTATGAAGTGAATCAATTACAGGAGTTTCGATAACTCTAGTTTGTGGTCTATGGTAGGTACTACTTACAATTTTCAAATCACTTATTTTAGCTCCAATTATAGCAAATTTCTAATAGGCTATCCGCTATTTATTAAAACTACTTCAAAAGTTAACATTAAATTTACATTAAGATACTTATTTTTGATTCTTCTAAATAGGTATCTTTTTATTATGGAAAGGAGCGCGATTTTTACTTATTGCAACTCACCGTATAATTTAAACTATGTTTATTTATTAATAAATAAATATATTGGTATCGTTTGTACCAGTACTATTTACAATAATAATTAAATTCACATAAAATTTATTGGAAGTATATTGGATAATCAGAATAAGTAATCTATATTACTAGTAGTCAATGACATTTAACATGACTGATACATTTAGTGATCTGTCAATTTTATGTTGTGCACAGATGTGTCTTCAGTGCTATTTTAAATTAAACACTAGCTTTTAACTACATATAATAAACCAATTTCATTTTCAATATTTAGTCTTCGAAATTTTCAATTTTTCACTCAACAGGATGGGAGCTGACTTAGGATTGCGCTTTGGTCATATATTAATTTTATATCAAATTTAAGATCGTAATTTTAAAGCATCTTTCATGTCATTAATTTTTTACATGTTGTATTGTAGCTAGAGTAGAATTAACGCTTAAGTAAATTTATTTCTTTTGTGTATTAATTAAAGTATATTAAAATAGATTCAAAAATGAGTATTCAAGTATGTAGGGACACGTCTGACGCTGTACCGCTATATCTACCACAGCGTTTGTATCTCAAATCATTCGCCATGCTAAATATTTCTGTTCAGCTCCCAGCTCAGAAGGTACACGGAAAGTCATTGTCCAATTGGGAATTGATGGAAAAATTAAGAAAAATGATCCAACCTGATAGCTTTTCATTATTGAAAGTGACGAAGCATAGTTCTGAAGTGATAAGATTTGACGCTGAATTAGAGAATCGACAAAAGTTGGAGCGAGTGCTGTCTCGGCTGGAAGATAGAATAGTTCAGTTAAATGATTACCCAGATCCATTGAAAGTGAAAGTGTCTGAGGCGAAATCTAACTTCCCGAGTCGACATGACTGGGATTCATTTTTTCGTGACGCCAGCGATATGGACGAAATGAAGCCCGGTGAACGACCTGACACTATACACATTAAGAACTTGCCTATCAGATGGTTCGTTCACGAACGAGACAGAGACGAAGATGCAGCCCCATCTGAGAGTTTGTTCAAGAAAATATTCGAAAAGTACGGCTCTATAAGACAAGTTGACGTTCCCGCAGCGGATCCATACAGAATGAAAATGAAATCTCAGATGAGGGGCATCACAACACCACCACAAGAAAGTGCTTTATACTTCGAGGGCTATGTACAATTTGTGGAGTACACAAGCTTCATTCGCTGTATGGACGCTCTGCGCGGACGTAAGCTGTTACGAAAAAACGAAGACATCTCCGAATGGTGTCACATTATTGTTGATTTTGATAAAACAAAGCATATGACGGATGCATCTGTTAAAAGACGGGCTATCGTCAGAGAGAGGCTGATAACACAACAGAAAACGAGGGATCTCGAAGAAAGGCTTGAAAAAGAAAAACAAGCTAAAAGGGAAGCTAAGGAGAGGTTAGATAACTTGTATATTATATATTTTTATATAATTTTTGTATCTATACTTAAAAATACTAATTATTTATAATTTATAGGCATAAATTGGAACATCTCGAACAAGAGAAGTTAGCTAAAATGAGGGAAAGAGAGGAACGTAGGAAAAAGAAACAATTGGCAAAGTTAATGGAGAGGGATGATGTAGATTTGAATCGACGGATAGCTGAGGAAAAGAATAAGTTACTGAAAACACAGAAACGTTTACAAGCTGTACGGCTGATTGAAGAATTATTTCAAAGACTCGAGGTTAGTATTTATTATTACAATATGTTATATATACTTTTAGAACTTCTTGAATATCAGTTTCAATAGGAATAAAGTACATTGGAAGAATAAAAACAACCATTTTTTAAAATGTTTTTAAAATATTAGTGTATATTCATACTTATTATATACTTTGCTGAACACACACAGTCAAAGCCCATTTACAAATTATGAATTAAACTAAGGTGTATGTAAACTGTTACATTTATTGTCTAAAAGAAAGCATTTCGATTTTGTTGTTTATTAGTTACTTGCTTGGTATTGTTAATGATTTTTCAACCGTAATGTAGGTAGATCACATTATATAAGAGCCATCATTCAGTCTTGCACAATTATATTAGGAATTTAACATAATTATATTGAACACTATTTGAAGTTGAGACAAAACCTCTCATCTTTCCATGAATTCACCATATGGGTGTCGGGTCCATCATTGTAGTGAGAGGAGCTTCAACAGTGCCTGGGACTAGCAACCTAGGTGTAGGTTTAAAGGGCTTCTATCTAACGCTCTAAACGCTCACCTCCACTGTCCAAGCTCCTCTCTACCAAATTTGAAAAGAACCTACTAAGAACTCCTTCGAAGTATATTTAAAATATTATTCACATTTCAGCTTCGTCCTGAACTACAAAGCCATCAGCCAGAGCGTTATTATAAAGCCAACGAGCGATCTCGACACCACGCGGTCACTACCATCAAGAGATTATCCGAGAAAGCTGTTGACGAACAACGGGAAAGATATCAACAAGCCTTGGATGGTCGGTACAATATGAATATTGAAGGAATTTTAATATAGACATATTCATAAGAAACATATCAATATTACAGTGAACATATTTGTCACTATGTATGAATGTTTGATATAAAGAATATTCATCAATTCAATGAAACATTAGTTATTTAAAAATGGTGACATAAGTAGTTAGATAGTATGACATAAGTATATGTGTATTTAACAGGAAGAAGACAGTATGGAGTATGAGATAGTGAATATAGTTTTAATTATTCCATGCATATCTAATTGGTTTGTTTTCATATAAAGCTTCAAATAGCATATAGATGTATGTAAAATGTTATATAATAATATGATCGTAGTGTTGTGTCAACATTAAAATTTATAAATATAGATCACATTAGACTATCAATGGATATTAAAATATCTCATTAATAATATATATGTATATTATTAGTGAGATATTTTATATTATATGTATATATATATATATCATACTAACATAATATTCCAGGTCGTATTATAATCCGTTCAGCTCTAGAAACTAAGAAACCTAAAAGAGAATCATCAATGAGTTCTATATCAGAAGACGAGCGGAGTCACGGACACAAGCGAGTCAAGGCTGAGATGATGTCTCCCGAGAGAGACATATATGCTAAACCAGGTTAATAATAATATTATGGATATTATTAACAATAATATATCTTCTACTGCCTGGTAATTTCCCAGCTATAGCCAGGGCCTGCCCATTAACAATAATATATATGTATAGATTAATATATGTATTTGTTGTACTATACACGTCATATAGATTGTATATTTTTCATTTACATATATGTGATTCTTCATATATGTGACTCAAAATTTATAAATATAAATTCAGAAAACTGTTTTTAGACAGAATAGAATCATAAGGTTAGATCTCAAAATATATCAATATATATACGTTGATTTATTTACTATATCGTATAATAATGTTATCATAATATATTTCCAGGAGTGTACGCGTATCCCAATCCATATTTCGGCTACCCGATGTCAGTGCCGCCCTACGCTTACCCTCAGAGTATGAGTATCTTAATTAATATACATATGTATACATTTACAATCTAATGAAAAAATATCGATAAATGATAAATAAATTATCTATTAAATTAATTAGAAATTTGATATTAAATTAATATTTTTCGGATTTACTATGCGTTAACAATCGTGATCATGTCATTATCTCGTGTGTCCATGCTGCAAACTAACTGTAACAGCGGGTTTATGTAGTAATATAATACAAAACACGTATGTAGTAAATCCCAAAAATATAACTTACATCTGACTGAATACTCGCGGAGTCTTATATCATTGATTTTAGTCTATGTAGTTAATCTATTTTTTATCTGTGGTTAATGTTATCTGTGAAGTATATCAAGTATATTTATTTTTTATCTGTGGTATATTCTATTAACTCCCGCTTTCTCCCAGGCTCGTTGTACTGCGGGTTGCCTTACAGAAGGCGAGGTCGCGGCCGGGGTCGAGGTAGAGGTCGGCTGCCCTTCTTTGACGGACCCGACGCTAACACACAGTACTATCAGTTAGTATTGATAATTTGAGGACATATATATTGTTCAATATACTCATTGGTCATAAATTATTCATAAATCGCATTCGTACTGTCTAACCTAACGAAATTTTTAATGAAAAAACGTTTACGAGTTTTTTGAAGGAAATTATTAGATAATTGTATGGAGCACTTAGATTAACCGCTCTTGAGTTGTACAAGTCGTTGCTACTGTACTAAATTGTTGGTTGAATTGAATTATGTAATACATCTCATTTAAGTGAACATTGTATGTTATTTATGAGAAATAAAGTTCTTTAACCACTACTGTCTAAATTGTATTTACGAGGAATCCTCAAAATTAAAAAAAAATAGTTTTTGAATTTCGAACACAAAATTTAAAGATAATAATTTCGACAGATACTTCAAGAAGCTATCGGAGATCGAGAATCGTAACGAGCATGATAATCGGAACCGGTCCCGGTCCCGTTCTCGTTCCCGATCCCGGTCTCGCCGTCGTTCGTATTCCCGGTCTCGCTCCCGGTCCCGGCGTCGCTCGTACAGTCGTTCCCGGTCCCGCAGCCGACGACGATCCCGCAGTAGGAGTCGACGATCAAGATCTAGGAGTCGACGGTAATGTATACGTTTGAATTTCGAATATCAGCTCTGTATAACATAAAGCAGGGGTTCCCAATCGTTTCCGTATGAAGCGTAGGTTCCCGATCATTTTTGTATGAAGCAGGGGTTAACAATCTTTTTTGTATACACCATGGATTGCCAATTATTTTTGTGTACATCAAGAGTTAAAAAATGTTTTTATGATCATAAAGGGCTACTAATTGGTTTCGTATAGAACTGAGGTTCCCAGTCGATGTTATTATTCCCTTTAGCATGTAGAATTTAAGGTAATGAAACTTGTCAGCCATAATTATCAGGAGCTTTACCTTTCCTCTGAGTGTTGTTTATAAGATTTTATTAATACCTGGTTTTCCAGGTCTAGGAGTAGAAGCCGCCGTCAAGCGTCCAGCAATCGCAGGTCGAGGTAATATAATAATTAATATGATTGTAATAACATTAATATGAAGTTTTTTTTTACCGTAGTGAATGTTTTAAAGAAATAATATTTAAAAATATAGGTACTAATAACGCAAGTATTGATTTTTTCTATCAAAATGTTTGTTTCATCTAAGTTATAGTCAGTAAATAGTAGTAAGCACGATGCATAACCACGTACATCAACTTCCTAACAAATATTTTCCAGATCCCACAGTCGTTCGAGTTCTAAATCTAAAAGTCGTCGTTCCAAGTCAAGAAGTCGTCGTTCCAAGTCAAGGAGTCGCCGTTCCAAGTCACGATCCAAACGAACAGCGACTCCGAGGAACGAACCAGTTCTTGGATCACGAAGATCTAAAAGCTGGTCATTACCGAGAGATGAGAGGAAGTCGTGGTCTAGAACACCGGAGAAATTATTGTAATAAATATATTTGTAATGAAGTCGTTTTATTTAAGTATATGAATGTATGGTCTTGTATGAGATATTTTTGTCCCATGTAAATAGCAGATTTCTTGTATCTTTATTTTAAGATAATAATAAATATTTATAAATACACTTGATGTTTGTACTGAAACAAAATCTAAATATACATTGTTTGACATCTTTATTAAAGGCTACTGTAATAATTAGCTGATGTGGGCAACTTATTTGTGGTGTTAAAGTAAGAGGCCGTTTGATTGAAAAAATAGAAGGAGAAATTATGGCGTTAATGATTGGATATTATTTAAGGTACATGCAGGTATTAAGGCCTAGCTACGGGAAAATTGATGTAAAATAAATACTGATAATAGAATCAACAAGTTTTAGTGGGTAATCAATCAGTCATTTATTTAGGCAACTACAAAATAAAAACAAAAAATATTGACTTCTCCATGAAAGTTATACAAAACGATCTTAATAGGCCTTATTGTAATTAGGTAGGGTAACAAGGCCTGTTTCTTAAAATATGCAATTAACTAAAACAACATTATTTAGTACTTGAGATCAGTCATTATCAAACATAATTATCATTTTTTTTGGTTTCTTATTGTTCGCCTAGGAATTTTGTATCGTTCTGCAGCCGCATAAGTACTCATGGTTCCTCTCTGTACTACGCGAGACCAAGTCATCTTCTGAACACATTTTTGAATTTTCGTTTTAGGAGGCATCCTGAACCGTGAACTATGTATGATAAACTGAAATAATTTGAAAATAGTGCACACATAAAAAAATATATATCTATAAGTATAATAAATCCTATTATAAAATTTTGTGGGCGTTATTACCCATAGGTTAATTATTTATGCAAAACGAAATAAATACAATTTGGATTATAGATCATTAGTGAATAAGGCAATTAAGGACAAGCATAAGTTAACGATAATACATAAGTGCAGGGAGATAAGTATAATAATATAAGAAATACTTACGTTTGACCGGATCCGATATTTGTAAAAACATGAGATGTGGCTACTCTTGACAACATTTAGTAATCCAGTAGCCGAAGCGAGTGCGTTAGCAAACACTTGCCTCCAGGTGGCGCCTCTCACGTGTAATATATATGTGTGTGTGATTGATCTTAAGCGCCAAATCGTATACTAAGATTTTTAATGTTTAGGCCTTGTTACCCGACAGGCCTTAATGCCCGCCTGTACCTACCTCACTTTGCAACAATGGCGACCAACTAATTAATATTTCTTGCTTAAATTTTCAAAGCTGATTTGCCAACAAAATAGCCCATTGATGAGCCACCTAAAATAAGCTTTACCACTATGACGACTCAACACTACCACCCTCAAAATAGTCTCATCAAAATTCGTCAAATTATTCAACGAGTTACTTCCCCCTCCATCATAGTTTCTGAATTTGACGCCTCGCCAATTCTTCTTTAGTTCAAATCTGAGAAAATTATCGCAGGTTGATATTTGACTCTAAAGATGTAATCACCGTTGTGGAGGCCTGCTTTTGCAGACTTTCTGGAAAACTAGCTTTTAAAAGTCCTAAAGAAGATAAAATATAGCTGTGCCCGGAGGTTTTGTAGAAAACAAATCGTGTTGCATTTGATTTTCGATTTAATTTATTCGCTACTACCTAGCGGACCAAACTCGTAAACATTATTATAACTTTAGGCCTCCATTAAAAGAAGAATATCAAAATTAAATAAACAATATGTTAGTATAGATTTTTTTAACATCAATTACTGTATGTATGTGTATCTACATTAGAGACGAGCCGTAGGTATATTATACTGTCGAAAATTCGTATTCTACACATTCGGCCGAATATTAAATTAATTTGCAGAATAATAACTGTCTAAATAGTGTTATTTTTAATGACAGAATTTAATCCGGCATTCATAGTAATAGAATATTTAATAATGAAACAAATACTAATTACTTATGTAGGTACCGTCTTTGAATTAAAAAATAAAGAAATTTCATATTGTTTTTAATACACAAACGCTTTTAAAAGCTTTTATTTATCTTGCAATGTAGGTATGTTTGTTTGTTTGTGTGGAATCTACGAAATAAATTTTGCAGTAGATATCTTCAAACGATTGAGCTGAAATTTTGTATACACGTTCAGTTTGGATGACAATGTATGACGTGATACAATTCTAAATTCAATATGTCGGATCATCCAAGATAGCGGAATGGAAATTTTTAATGTATTTTACTATATGAGTATCAAATAAAAGGGCTCGTTTGAGAGTAGCTCAAAATTATGTTTGTTTCCTTAATCATTTTAACTATCAACTTATAACCTCATCATGTACATACAATTTATGAAAAGAAAGTCGTCGCGAGGCTTAATTACCTACCTATTAGTATTTCATTAAATTAAAATATAGCAAATACATATATGAGATCAGTTTACCTATATAATTTGGAAGTAGTTAGTAGTTTATTTACAAATCAATTTTGCAGTATCCACATTAAAAATGGAGGAGGAACGCTTTCTTCAATTTAATATGTGCTGATGGGATCTGAAATCTTTAACGGTTCGATTTTGTTCCCGAAGTCATGAGCACACATTAAAGTAATAATTTCATCTAGTTATAACGTCTTGTTAAGTACAAAATTAACCGAATAATTCGACCAAATATTCGGTTTCGTATATTTTTGACCGAGTATTCTTATTGGTTAAACATACATACATATTTCCGGCGGTTCTGTAGGCTGTAGTGCACATATACATATAAGTTTGAAGTGTTTGTGACTCCAATTTGAATATTCAAGTTTTAAGATAATCTAACAAGCGTCATCTTGGCAGGACTCATCTCGCGAATGTAGGACCACTATTACACGGCTTTAGATTTGCTTATAGTCTAAAAGTATTAAAAACATACATTATGTAAGTAGTTATATTGGGAACTCATTATTTAAACTTTAATATTTCTGGGAACTGTTCACTTCAAACAAATTACTGAATCTGAATCGTAGGTGTTAGTAATTGTTTTTTAATTGTATTTACAGAGAGTGCTCAGTTTCCTATTCATAATTCTTCGTATTAAATACTATCAAAGTCGATTGAATACCTACCTAAAAAACTGGAAACGAGTAGTGTGATGACGCGAACTTGTTATAGAGTAATGTTAGGACTAACATATTATATCATTCATACATAAACTTCTTATCTGTTGACTTTTTGTTTCAAAGATGGATAATGAGCAGATGAATTACCTAATGGAACATAGTAGTCACTGTCGCTCGTGGACATAGGCAACATGGTTTTACGGATGCGTTGCCAACCTTGATTAGGGAAGAAGGAGATGTAAGGGTGGGCAGGAAAGGGCAGACGTTTCTCTCACTCATTTGAAGACACGCAGCCATTAAAGACAACTTCACGAGTTTAGGCTCTACTACCTACAGAGTCATTTATTGACTTTTTTTATGTTAAAGGTGGCAAACGAGCAGACGGCCCACTTGATGGAAGGTGGTTACCGTCACCCATGGACATCCGCAACATCTTGGTTACGGATGCGTTGCCAACCTTGTTTTTTTAAGGGATAGGGAGGGGTGGGAAAAAGGAAAAGGTAGGAACGGGTGGGAATAAGGAAAGGGCAACCGGCCCTCTCACTCATCAGACGAAACGCAGCCATTAAAGGCTACTTCACGCCGATCTTCTGTGAGAGGGTGGTACTTACGGTCGAGCCAGCCCATGTTCGAGCTGCAGTAACTGACCACAGCTAGGATTTACCACCTCAAGACTAAGATTCTTTTAGGAAAACAGAAAAGCCTTATACGTTTTCTGTCATCACATAAATTATTCCGTTATAATGACTTGATCGATCATGTATGGCTCTGTTTGAGTTGAAATTTACGTATGAAACAAAAAAAATACAATTAAACTGCCAAGTGAACATTTTAAATATCATTTGTTTACACAAAAATAAAAACTGGATAAAATTTAAATATGATATGACACCAATTTGTAAACAATAAATATTATATTTGACAGATGGGAAGCAAAAAATGACAATAGGATTATGAAAGAGCAATTTGTTGCCGAATAAATAATAGTTATTAATATAACAAGCCTGCTTTAATAAAATAGCGAATTAAAAAGGGAATAAATAATTTACATCAAATTTAAAGGAATATTTACATAATTTGTATTATTATTGTAAAAAGATATAAGTTTTATGGAGGTACATATTTCCATAATCTCTTTTTACTCGTCAGTTTTTTAATATAAAAATTTACATAAATTATCCCAATATGTTTATTAAACTGGTTTTAATTTCAATTTCCTTATTTCTTCACATTTACTATCAACTTTGTAAAATTGTGTTCATGTACCCCATATCGTAGTTGCGGGAACAAAGATTTATTTTTTTAATAATTTCAAAGTTTCTCAACAGGCCTTTAATGTCAAAATTTTTTTTGATATTATTTTGGATTATTTTTAAATAATGATAGCTACAATCATGTGTTATAATTTATCATTGTTTCAGATACGTTATCATTAATTCAGTAATAATCTGTATCCGGATTTAGAACTAATACCCAACACTGACGTTAATAAGTTAAACAAATACGTTTTTATATTAATCAGGTTATTTGTATATTTTTATCTATTAATTTTTATGGTAAAGGTGGCAAACGAGCAGATGGTATTCTTGATGGGCTGTAGTTACCGTCTCCCATTGATATCCGCAATAAGTCTATGTTGCGAATGAGTTGCCAACCTTTGCTGTTGAGGAAGAGGTAGGGTGGGAATTAGGAAAAATGGGGAAAGGGTGAGAACAGTGAAAGGGCAAACGGCTCTCTCACTCATCGGTTGAAACGCAGCCTTTTAAGACTACTTCTTCTGTGAGAGGATGGCTTTACCATCTTCAAAATTCATTAAAAATTCTACATTAAGAATCGTAATATGGTTGCACAAGTACATTAAATATGATTGGAATTCCATGATTTAAATCCAAAAATTAATAACTAATTAAATGAGAATTTCGCTTCATTAATATTCGAAATGATTCTGATTATGTAAGGTCTTCTTTCCTCAAAGAACACGATCTCTTTGGCCTTATCTAATATAATATCTTCATGTCACATAATAGTTTTTTCTATTAAATCGATTTCATCATCTTCAGCCATGTGAGGTCCACTGCTAGACATGGCCTCCCTCATCGACTTCCAAGCACTATGATCGGAGGCGGCCTGCGTCCACTGTAAACCCGCAGCCTTATAGTATATAAGTACACAAGATAGTAAAGGTATAACCTAGGAATGGAAGTGATGTTTGATAGAAAGATAGTATGCGGAATGAAAGGCCCTAGCAAAAGATAGAACTGGAATGAAAGTGTCGAAAGCAAAAAAGGTCTCTGACCAAGTCAGAGGGAATAGTTAATAAAAATAAATAAAAAAAAGAACAAGCGGCCTTGACTAGGACGTCCGATGCTGCACTTTCCGAGCCGTGGTCTCCATTCAAGAACTTTTCGGCCTCAACGGCCATCTGTTCTCTTGGCTATATGGCCTGCCTGCTATATATAAATCGATTCCGTCCAATTTAATATAACTTAATATATAAAAGAATAAGTATCGCACAAAGCCGAATATTACTAAGTAAAAGTTTTCTCTAACAGGCAATGCATAGGAAAAGAGATTTAATAGTTGCCATCTGTAGTATCTAACAAAGTATATATATTAATTTTATTAGTCGTATGTTTAATTATTATTTTTCATTCGTTTCGTTTGAAGCCGAACAAATCCTCGTTCGTTGTTGTTTTCATTGAACTGACGTTTTGATTAATCAAAAAAGTTTTGAAACGACTTTTCGATTTGTTCTCATTTCGTGTTTTATTTTTCACTCTTTTCCTCTTTTTTTAATAAATTTATTAAGTGTCTTGCTTTCAGTATTCCTAGGTTTCATTTCAGTTATTTTGTTATTGTTTTATGGTCTATCCTTTTCATATATTTTTTTTTATGTCCCATAGTAAATATTACAAATATTTTGTGACATTTTAAATATTCTAATAATTTAAATCGTCTAAAAAGGTATTAGATTTAAATAAATTGATCATATAGATATCATCAGTTTGTATTTTGACAATATATATTTTTAAGTTTCTAGTTAAAATCTCCTAATATTATATTCCACAGATTTGTCACTTAGCCCGTAAAGTTATAAATTAGGAAGATAATCTTAAGTCAGGGGACTCCTGTCAATTGGGTAATTTATAGCCAAAGAAGATGTTATCTATATTCAGAATGTTTATTGTTTAAATAATTGTAATATAAGAATCATATTACTACATATTTACTTTGCTTTTTTTAATTATTGGTTTGTTTTATATCGAAAATATTACATTTATCTAACATTCGTTGAAAATTAAAAAAGAACATTTATCTATCATTATCTTATGTGATACATTCGCGTGAATTGTAATCAGATAAAAATTATATATTTTTTTAATAAATGATAAGTTTAATTAGAATAAATCATTAGTCGATTTAGTTTAGTGATACGTTGTCAGTTGTTGAATATGAAGGTTCTTGTTGTCGCTTTCCTGTGCACCTTCGCCGCCGTTCAGGTAAATAAAAAAAATTATGACATTAGTTACAGATTATAAATATATTTATGGAGCGAAACTTTCCTACATATTATACCTATTTATCTTAACTTGACGTCAAACTTAAAAACTTTATAAAATTTTCTTGAGTTTTTTTTGAATTATTACAAATGAAAGTATCCAAATTTTATTTTGAAAATCTTTATATTCTGCTTTTTTTTAAATATTAGTAAGAAAACCCATGTGATTTTCCTAAAATCACAATTTTGTTGCACTTTTTAATTGCATTAATCATATAATGAAACATTTCCACGATTGATTAACATTTTCCGATTCAACTATGCTTAATTTAAAAATATATTTAATTTAAAATTTCTTAAAAATATCGTACTTATAACGGTCGAATGATGTTTGAAGGAACCAAAGCGAAATTTAACACGTGGTTAAAAAAGCCATCGAAAGTTTGAATGAAATATAGAAATAACGAACAATGCTCCTACTTAAAGATTTAAAAGATAAACATTTCTATATATTAAGAAAAGCTGAAAGCGTTGATATGACTGTCTTGATAATGACTGTCAGTTTAAAATTTAACGGACACCATAAATGTATTAAGAACATGATAATTAAAAATTTTCAAGAAATTCTTATTAGCAATATTCTGAAGGTTTTCTAAAAGAAAATTTATTTTATCCAATGTCATGACGTCAGAAGCAGTTTAATAATATAATGTATAAATATGTGACAAATACAATTATCAGTATCATTAATCAATGACTTATCGAAGTGATATAAAGGATTAATATTAAATATTTTGGGATTATATATTAAATATTTAATTCCTATAATCATACATTCTAAGGTTTTCTAGTTGATTTTACTAGTTACGTCATAACGAATAAATATAAATCATAGGAGTGCAGTATTCCGACGATTTTTATTTTTAAATTGTATGTAATATCAGATATAATGATTAACTTTATAAGGACAAGTTGATTGTATTGATTAGAAATAGTATCTAGTCATGCTAGATGTATATAGAAAATACACATAGATATATAGGTACTAGTTTTTCAACTCGACTTAGTCTTCGTTAATTTCGGAATTAGTAATATAGCTTACCGGGCATACTCTATTTGGCCTAGATGCCGTAAATAGCCAGATTGGAATTTATAATTATTTTTTTCGATCAAACAGAATTGAATATTCTATGTCCGTCTCCTGGTTTAAAGCTATTTCCCCATACATTTTCAACCATTTTCCTACAGCTTTTCTTTAGTTATAGGTAGATATTGTTTAGTAGTAGCTATATCGGATTTAACATTTTACACAAGTAAAATTTGTACAGTAGATTCGTTTTGAGCATAATTTTTATTTTTTCTTAGTCAAAGGAAACAATATAACAATTCAACTTACGGTCATGAACGTAAGGTGGAATTATCAGTAGATAATAAACATTATCCCTATTCATAATACATATAGTATAGTTATATAATTGCATTTGTAAACTTATGTTTGATACATTACGGTTTACAATTTCTATTTACAACATATTTTCTATAATTTTACAAGCGATTATTAAATTTACATTATTATTTTCGTAATTCACAGTATAAATCCATAGTTCATTCATAAATATATGTACAGGGTGACTGGTGAATTACTATCGATACTTGAGGACGTGATATTTGACGACCATATATGACAAAATAAAAATTAATATAACATAAATATTAATAAACTTCTAAGTAAAGTTAACCAAAAGTTATGTAATTAATTACGCATCGTTCGAACACCCTACAGATTAGGTATACGCACACACACACACACACACGCGTGCGGCGGCGTGGTGTTGTATCAGCACGCCGCCGCACGCGTCCCCACTTGGAACACTTGGAACGTGTCCACACTTTATTTATTTATACGGAAATTTGGTCAAAAATTAAGTACCTATTTTTTTTACATAATTCGAATGAGAATCATGTACCGAGTATTCTCCTTAAATATTGATAGTAATTCACCAGTCATCCTGTATATACTATTTACACGTTTTTACACAAAATAATGCTTTGTAATTAACCTATGTATATCTGTTTCAGGGGCGCAGCGCGTTGAGTGAATGTAAGTTTAAAATTGTTATAAACATTAAATATTTTAGACTATTGATTTATTTCAAACGACATTATATTTTATCTGTCTTAAATCATATTTCTAATCATAAATTATTTTGTGATCTAAGACTTTCGCGAGTATTCATATAAATGAAACTAATATTTGAGGATTATTTGGTATATTTTATTGTTTTTTAAAACTACATACTCCCGAAGTTATGATTACTTTAAAACCTTAATCACGAGAATTATTTTCTTGACCATAGACAATATAATTAAAGGTTCTTGATCATAGACAATTATGTTTCAATATTTAAATTATGATGGTAATTTATTTCAGTGTCAGCGTCTGCTGGTGACAATCCTTACGTGGTCCACATCCGTCTGGCTACTTCTGATAACAATGGCCTTCTCAGCACATGCGCTGGCTCACTGATCGGCTCAACATGGGTCCTTACGAGCGCTGACTGCGTTAAGAAGTAAATAAATACTTTTAATATTTTGTCTATGGTTAAAACCAATCTCTTTGAATGGACCTAAATATTAGCTGAGGCTAGATTTTTTAATCACGTTATTACTTATCACCTTTTTTTATTATATACAGGTTCAATAAAAATTTATACAAAACTACTTTTTCTTTTAACTATATTTTATCTGTGTAAGAAATTTTAATATGTACAAACATTAATAGCTGTCATGACGTCAAAGATAAGTTTACTGTTTAATAACTGTCAACTTTGACATTTGACATAATCAAAATTTAACGTTATTTTGTATAATTTGCATTGTTTTTTTGTAGCTCCCGTTTCATGTGGCTTCGTTTCGGAGCTGTGGACGTGTTCCGCCCCGCGTTCTTGGCTGAAGGAAACCTCAACGCACGCGTTCAAGACGGACTCGCCCTTATCAACGTCAACAGAGCCATCGAAGAGAGCGGTTTGTAGCTTTATATAGTTTTTACCTGATTGAAACTTATTTACATACGTATAAATTATATGAATATATACTTTTTGGATATATTATAAGATATTAGGATATGTATGGTAATGGACGTATGCTGTGCATATAAAAAACCTTAATGGTTAACAAAATCGCTACTTACGAAAACGTCGTTCCTTTTTTTATAAAATAAATTACGTTTTTCCTATTTAGTTGAAATATACAGATATTTAATAATACTTAATTTCAAATCATCGATAACTTTAAATTAAAAGTAATTTTGAAATATCGATTATGTACGATATATTAAATAACAAAATGATCTATTTTTGAAGAAATAATATTGGTTCTGGCATTTTACTGTATTTTTATCTCTTATTTCCTCATAAAAACAGTTTTGTATTTACATAAGTGAGTAGTCATATATTTTAGATTTATTGTAAATTATAATTTTAATTATTCCCGCCTTACTTTTATAATGCATTATAAAATACGCCAGTATTCCGATCTTAAATTTTATGAAAAAGATTGTCGCTTTTGTTCTTTCGCTCCAAATTTATGTTTCCATCTTGAAAATTAAAAAGATAAAAAAAAAACACATGAAATGGATAGTCTAGGAGTTGATACTGCGGCTACATCAGGTGTTGAATTACTTACTATCGGAAAATTATCCTCCAATATTCCTTTTAAAAATACGCTACTTACAAAATTATGTCTAATATGTGCTATTATTATCAATTTTTCGTATATTTTCTATTATTTTATCATAATTTTAAGTTCTGATTTGTCGTATTTTTGTACATATCTACATTAAAACATGTTTTTTCAATAGCTCTCAGTCAGTAGGCCGTACTGGGTGCGGACAATTAAAATTCGTTCCAGAAAATGACTGCTCTATTAATTGAAGGGCTGTTGAAAGTTGGCGCAAACTTCGTCTCCGATAAGCCTTTTCGGATTTTTTATTTTGTTTTTGAAATCGTTTTTAGTCCGTCGGTATTTCAAAAGAACCGAGTTTTTTTGAAAGTTGTTCGAGAGTTGCATTTGTCGTTTTCTAATTTACGGAATGGATATCTAACAATAATATAGTTTTTTTAATTATAAAAAACGATTGAGGTTTTATATACAGGGTGACTGGTGAATTACTACCAATATTTAAGGAGAATACTCGGTACATGATTCTCCTTCGAATTATGTAAAAAAAGGCACTTAATTTTTGACAAAATTTCCGTATAAATAAATAAAGTGTTGACACGTTCCAAGTGTTTCAAGTGTGGACGGGTGCGGCGGCGTGCTGATACAACACCACGCCGCCAAACGCGTTTGTGTGAGTGTGTGTGTATACCTAATCCGTAGGGTGTTCACACGATGCGTAATTAATTACATAACTTTTGGTTAACTTTACTTAGAAGTTTATTAATATTTAGGTTATATTAATTTTTATTTTGTCATATATGATCGTCAAATATCACGTCCTCAAGTATCGATAGTAATTCACCAGTCACCCTGTATATCTTAATAATTTATGATGGGACGTATGAAGACATCTTTATATATAAAAGTAAGTCGTGTTAGTTACACTATTTATATCTCAAGAACGACTGTACGTGTTTAGCTGAAAATTGGTACGACGATAGTTTAGAACAAGGAAAAGGACATAGGATACTTTTCATCCGATTGAAAAAGAAAATAAGTTGATCAAAACCAAAATTTTATCTACTGTCTTTAAGAAGGAATAGAGTACGCCCGGTCAATACATTTTAATACTAAAACTATCTCAAAGTTGCGTGCAAAAACTAGAGCAACATAAAAAAAGCTACATATTAAGCCATAAGCTATATATTAGCTTAAATCTTCGTTCATTCCCATCCTTCCTATATAAAAGCTCCGTGTAACTTCAAGTAATGAAGCTGTAGAAACACAATAATAAAGCAAGCTGCTACTCTTAGCTACTTTGTTAACCGTCCACGTTTGTTGCTTTAAGATTCCTTTGTATGGCGGTTTCTTAATGGCACCGTCATTGTTCGTAGCCACGGTTTACTTAGACTAATAACAAAACAAACACCTCTTAAAAGATGTGTTACGAAACAATAATATAATACTCATATATTTTCTTCTTCTACCTGGCAATTTCCCAGATATAGTCTGCCTTACATGTTGTGAATAGTTTTGGCTATTTGTTTTTATGACCGGCCGCCTGCCTGACATCAACCCTCTTTTGGGAATCAACATTAATCAGTGATGTCTAAATAGGCTTAGAAAGTACTTACCTATGACTCGGAAAAATCACATTGGTACTTGTCCGGGCCAGGATCGAACCCGCGACCTCGGCAACGAGAGGCGGGCCCTTTAACCACTAGGCCACCACTGACTTTTAAATAATACTCATATTATCTATTAAAAATAACGAAAATATTTCTTGTATTTATTTCAGATGTAATTCGTCGCGTATCTTTACCTGCGGCTGATTCTGAAGCACCCGAAAGCGGCAAATTGTGCATCTTTGGAGCTGAAAATGATGGTGCGATATTGTATATAAACTATTTTGATACAATAATATAATAAGTTTTTATATTCTGTTATGTAATTCACAATATTTAAACGATATCTTTCTTCAGCGCCCGGAAGTCAATTGAGTTGTTCAAACGTCGAGGTTGCCGCCAACGAAGCCGGCGAACTTGTCGCTGAGAGTGGAGCTTCTAAAGTAAGAAATAAACATAATATAACAAGTTTAAATTAAAATAATTCCAATTATTACTATTACGATTTATTTATATATATATTTTTAATCCTATACGATCTTTTTAATGTCAAAAAAAAGTGTGAAACTAATTTGACGCGACTTATGTCATTTTGACTTTGATGCCTAACCTACGATAATTATAGATCTCATTATTTTATTGTTACCAATAAAATATTGAAATCTGAATCAGTAATGAAAATTATTTTTGATAAATATGATTATAGTTTATTTGTATGCGAAATAAGTTTCTTAATTGAGATTGAAAGCTAAGTCTAAGTAAATATATGTACCATTAGAACGAGTTTAAATTATCAAACTAAATACAGTAACTTTAAAGTATGTCATTCATAAATGTCCATTAAGTATGCACGAGATTATATTGACGAAAAACTACAAACTATCTGTTTTTCGTTTAAGATACTCGTGTTAAGGTCATCGTTATTATAAATTCGTTTTCAATGAACAAATATATTTTTAATATCCTATGGCGGGCATTTTTTACATTCGATTATCGATTTTCAAATACGATTACCAGATTATATCTGTAAGGAGCTTAGCACAAAGAGGATTTGTTCTATTTTTGTTCGTTACAAATAATTTCTATAATAGGTACTATTTAATTTGATGTTATTTTAAAATTAAAATTACTATTAAATTGTAGTTTAAAGTACTATAATGTTTATATATAACTTTATTTACTATTATTAGTGTATATTTTAATGGTATTTAGAGGAAATTAATATTTAATTAATATTATTGTTCAGTTCGATCTCGGAGCAGCTCTAGTGAGTGACGGCGTACAGGTTGGAGTTCTATCAAGCGTAGGCGAATCATCTGGTAAATATATATACAAATTAAAATTTTATATGTGGCAATTTCATTTAATATAATGAGATCTAAGACTTTCGCGAGTATTCATTTAAATGAAACTAATATTTTCGAATTATTACGCGTTACTACTGTGATCACGGTTGCTGCAAAGTAACCGAAACATCAGGAGCAGTGGCGGCTGGTGGGTAATCGAACTGGTGGTGCACTTTACTAAAATATTAAAATTAGAAAATCAACAAAACATAACGAGATGTCAATCATGGCTCAATTCGTCATACATCGGGTGCTCTCGGTAATCTTCGGCCGCTCGTGCGGCGCTCGAGAACCGACTCATTACTCGGTACATTTCTATGAACTATCTTTTGTTTCACGCGTCAGGCGTGTTATTTCGTATCTCATACAAGATGTATTAGCAGTCCTCGTGCACTCGCCGAAGCGCTCGATATGAATTTAGTAAAGAACTCAAACTTTTTGACCATAATTAAGAATTTTAATTTATTATACGTTTTTATATGTTTAAAAAATAAATATTAAAATGGTAATTTAAAAATAAAGATGAAGTAATATTTTGTAATTTTTAAATCTTTTGATTTGGTGGTTCAGCGCACGAGTGCACTTAAGGTACAGCCGCCACTGATCAGGAGTATGAAGTTCACAGTAGTAATACGAAAATATTACTTTCATTTAACTTCGTTTAATATTAAATTAATTAATTACAATTTTTTAACTCAATTGTTATTTGATCAGTTTTAATTGGATTTTTTAAATAAAATTGATTATTTTGTTTCAGTTTTTGTATCAGTTGCCAAAAATAGGGCTTGGATCAACCAAGTCACCGGATTGTAAGATGTTTGAAGGGTACAAAGAAATGTGCACATTGTTTTATTATGTGAATAAATATTAAATATATATATATCTATATTGTTTTTATACCTGGCAACATTAATACTTACTTTAATCTGTTTTTTTGATAATCTTTTTAATGAATAAAAGAATTTATTGATATTAAATTTAAATCGTACTGTGTAAAGACATTTATTTTTATAGATTTAAATATTTGAAGGCGTATACAGAGTTATGTTTTTAAAAATATCGTTTTTTATTCTATAGTTCTATACCATATGCAAGTTATAAGACTTGGTTTAAAAAAATATGTATATATAGATATAATTTAGACATTTAAAATATTAAATAACTTCTAGAAATTTTATAATATGAAGTAAAAATTACTTTTTAATGGCCATAATTGAAGACTTATCCTTTGTTTGTAGTTGTTCTTAGTTCTTACATCGATCGTAAGACATACGTCTTTGATTAGAAATTGCTTTTAACATAAAGGTTGACGTTTTTTATATTATGGCACATCGAACGTTTTGAAATAAAAGCCAAATCATATAATATTAAAACTTATTATAGTCTTTACACATGAAAAATAATTATTGCAAAAGAAATGTAATTATTAAAAAAACTAATACTTAACCTTAGTTTGCGTCACGTTAAATTGATTTACGAATGAAAAACATTAATAGTATACTAATTGTTACATTATAGTTAAATACTAAGGTTATTGAAGAGACGGCAAACGGTTCGTCTGTAGTGTGACGATGTAGACTAGGACTAAGCATTTTGTATTAACTACTTTTTTACTACATAAAACTAATACATTTGAGTATTCTCAACACGATTTAGCACACTTAAAGAAAGTAAACACTTAAGTTTCTGTTCAGTTGATATTGTTTTTCAAAGACGAACGGCAAACTATCCGTTTTTCCTATTGATATACAAACGCGTAGTTAAAATCCCTACTAATATTATAAATGCGAAAGTAACTCTGTCTGTCTGTCTGTTACGCTTCCACGCCTAAACCACTGAACTGATTTTAATGAAATTTGGTACAGAGATAGAGTTGACCTTGAGAAAGAACATAGGATAGTTTTTTATCCCAGACTTTTGAAAGGTTCGTTTGGAAACGCGATATAACCGGACTCCACGCGGGCGAAGCTGCGGGCGGAGAGCTAGTATCTTATAAATTATTCCAATAAACTTTCCTACAACATTAACCTTCTTAATGAAATAAACTTTCGACATTCGTAATATAGTTCTAATATTTTGTTAGTATCGTAAACGGATGTTGTAAACTGGTTAATCAACTCGGAAAGTGAGTCAGTGGACCACGCGTGTTACGTCATACGTAAGACGCGTCGTTAAATAAGTTTAAAAAAAATTCGTTTATATTATAATTCGTATCCACTGGTAAGGAATAATTAATATTATTTTTAATATCAAATCGAAATCAAGCAAAAATATTTAGATAATTTAATTCTTGCTTTGTGTTTTTAATTTTATTTATCATTGACACGAGTATGTAGATATAAAAGTTTTATACAGAGAAACTTACTTTTACTAAACTACGTGTATTAAATATATATCACACACACACATATGTATATACATATGTGTGTGTGTGATAGTAATAATAATAAGAATCCATAGACAAGTTAAATTTCTAATTTAATTTCATACAGATACTTTTGAATATAGCTTGTTTGTTATTAATCAAAATTATGTTTTATTATTATTCTTTTTATTTCACTGTTTTTAAAGTATGTATAAAGCTTTTTTTCTATACATTTAACGCAAATAGTTAGTTACCGATTGCGGCCAATGTTTGCGAGATGCGACCTTTCGTAACTGTCCAGTTAAATATTTAAACTGACGGATTTGTGCAATTTGTTAAACCTACATTTGCTCGTGGCCTGCTAGTTAAACGAGTCTCTTTGATTTAGAAATATATTATACAATTTTAATTTTTCACTTCGTAAACTCTTTGGCAATAAAATATAGGTATATGAGTTAGAACATACATATATCCAAATCCAATTTTCATGACTTATATATATTTGTGGATTAAATTCATGTTATATTATATAAAATAAAATATAAATTATACGATAACAATTTTATCATATAAAAAATAATACTGCCTAGTGATGTTTTAATACGTTAGATAAAATTTATTAAATCTGTTAAGAATATCAAAAAATTCAAAGTTCATCAACCCAACAAAATATTGGTAGATGAAATCCTTGTGGAAGAGATAAAAACATTTTATTTTAAACAATATTAAACTCAAACGACAGTAATTTGCTAAGGATAGCAACATTAAAAACATAACAATCAAAATTTAAACATAGCATAAACGACATCAATAGAAACTATTGTGTGAATTATTTTACTTAATATAACGAAAATATTAAATTAATAAATAAGTAAACGATATATCTGAAAAACCTGTTCGCCAAAAAATCTCGATAGTAACTTATCGGCCACACTTTCACTCTTACAGCATCACGCGCCTCTTTTGTTATAACACATTCGGCCACAGCGCATGCGCGAGTTACGTCCTTCCATCGCGCCAATTCGTTGTATTTTGACGTTTAAATTGTATAGTGTTTGTTGATATACATTGTTAAGTTTGAAAAAAATATGTTAAACTAAACGTGTTATATAAAAAATCATGTTAATAAACGCTTAAAAAATGTTCGGGTTTAAAAATTCTTTGACTCGTGCAGTTGTTATTTTGTTGTGGATGTTAGAGAATCATACTTATGGATGTGATGTGATACATTTGTTTCTTACCGTTGTATTGTATGTGACTCTAATATTATGTGTTTTGATGTACGACTATGATTATTGGACGAATCTCGGTATTTTTTCGCCACCAGCGTTGCCTATTGTGGGTCATATCTGGTCTGTAGTGGCCCAGAAGGAACAAGGCGGTGTTTGTTTCAAAAAGCTATACGATGAATATAAGGACAAGAAGATTATAGGTTTGTTTTATTAAATTTGTCTTTACTTATAGTTAGGTTATAGAAACATCTAAGTTTCTGTCATAAGGAATGGTTTAAAAAACGTGATTTTTTTATTGAAGATTATCACCAATTTTTCAAAAATCAGAACAATGAAAAAATAAATAAATTATTATCCATATATTTCGATGATATTGTTACCATTTTATTACTTACTGGATGATAATTTTACATTGCATTCTACTTTTTTTATTCATCCCGCATTTTAAACACTATGTTTAATTTTAATACTTAATTAAGTTATTCGTTTTGTGAGATAATATATCTTACATAGGTATATTCTTTAGTTATTTGCATGTCCTTTAAATCTTTCGCTAGAAATCAAAGTTGAGTTACTAAAATAAAACCTTTTTAAAGCACGATTAAATATATAAATAAATAATGTTAAATATATATCGATGTTTGTTTTTAATTTATTATTTTAATATAGGCGTCCATCAATTCTACCGTCGTACACTAGTGATATGTGATCCTGTGTTGATAAAGCGTGTTTGCGTGAACGACTTCGTGTATTTCACGGATCGTGGATTCTATTTCGATAAGGATTTGGATCCTCTCGCCGAATCTGTGTTGTATCTGAGAGGTAACGAGTGGAAGCGGCTCAGGGCGAAGATATCGCCGTTGTTCTCGTGAGTATATTGTAAATATTCAATTTTATATACTGTTATTTTCATACAAAAATATCTTTAATTTCAGTGTTTTTGTTGAGATGAAATTTATGCTACATAAATGTTATTATTAAGGCTCGTTACGATTTTATTTTTTATTTTTATGTAAATTATTTGTTAAATATTTTTTTTATATTATATCGTTTGACTACATAGTGAATATTTCCGAGTACATTCATAAACTAAAGTTGCTACTACCGTAAGCGAAGATTTATATACTATAAAACGAAAAACGCATTGTGTGTAACTTTGTATTAAGGGCTTAACGAATTTTTTTATGTAATACAAAAGTTTTCACCGTCAACCTCAAGTTTAAACTTGAAATTTTACGTACATACGTCTCTATTTTGTGTGATTATTTATGAATGAATGAACCCGTACTAAGAATTTTTTCAAACTAAGAAAGTAGATAATATAAGAAAATAAGGGTAATAAATTTTTAATACATGTAATGCTCTAGACTTAACTGTATACTTGAGAATGAAAGTAACACGTTTTATCCTATATTTAATTCTGATTTCGTAAAAGTTTTAATCCAAATCGGTTTAATACATTATATTTACTATGAAATACGTAACTGTCATGGTAATAAATTTGTTAGAAAAAATTTAGACGTTTTGATAGAAACTACGTAATTTAGATATTACGGTTTTGAGTTAAAAAATCTAGATTGATACTTGATTTGCCCAACAATAGGGACCTCGTTTACATTTTCATTCAAATTGTTTTTTCGTTTTTATGTTATAGGAAAACAATAATAGGGAGTAATCATTTGATCAAAGTTTATTAAATTTGAACCAATTATCAATATACGTAGTACTAATTGATCGTCTGCAATAATACAAATTGGGTCAAAGAAGTAATAAATGAAATTTTTCATTTCAATATACCGCATAAATAATATTTTTATGCGTTAGTTAGTGAAGAAATTATATTGAGTGGCGACCAGAGGTTCCAGGAAAACTACTAAACTACTTATACGTATATTATAATGAGAATTACATATTGAAACTTACAACCTATACCTAAGACTACATGATTGTCCCGATGTTAGGATAACAATACCATTCCATAGCTTGTACGGTCTCAGGAATCTTCTGGTTCATACGGCTTGGTGTTCGTTCCGCGGAGTCAGCGGCGTCACTCGTTATATATTTTATCCATACAACGATGTTGCTCCGGCGATGTTCATTTATTTTTTATTGCGCGTACGTAACAAGGATGTATGAATGTTTGTTGTTCTTCTATCCAGAAATTTCTGAAGGGATTTTCATGAAACTTTATATTATTAGACACTTTCTATTTAATATGAATATGAAATTTATTTAATATTACTAAGTGTTTTGCTTTAGTATAAAATTCAGTTTTGTTCTGATATCCATAGTAATATTTCGCATTAAATATGGAATATTTTTCATTCACATATCTTGTAACGTTTCTTCATCTACACTACATACGAGGCGTTCCCCGTTAATACTTCAATAACTGACGTTAATACTATAATATGGGAAGTTTTTTGAATGAAAAACTGTTACCGCTACGTATTGTGCTTATGAAACTTAGAGTAAGCATATTAGTGTAAAGAAACAGGTAGTAAATTCAAGTATTGTGAAAAAGTCAACGCTTCAAATACGAACGATGTTTATTATTAGTAATTAAATTTGTTTCAAAACTTGGTTTTGTTAGCGTTATTTAAGATTAATTGGTATTAAAAATAATTTTATTTTTAAATTCATATAAATATATATTCCCTTTTTGATATCTTAGCTCATTTAATTCTTGTTATGTATATACATATACTATATTATGTCATATTTTTCATATGTGAGATTTTTTCAAGTTCACTTTCTTACTTTCTAATATCCGTTTGCGGTTAAGTCATTTGTAATACAATATCAATATGATTACTATAAGTAATACGGCATACTGTTAGTTAACCGTTTTTCACGGGAAACTCTTCGTATGTATTGAGTGTGCAAACTTGGGATAAGCGTATAGAAAAAAAATTAAAAAACACCTTTTTCTTATATGTAATGAGTTTGAGTATATATTTAAAAATTTAAGTACAACTAAATGTGAAGTTAAATAAAGAAAATATGTAGTTGATAATGTTGTAATTTTTTAAATATTATTGATGAAAAAAATCATTTTTTTTTAATTAATTTATTATACATACATATATCGATGAAAATATATAACGATTTTCATATAACTTTAAATTAAGAATAATTTTCATAGAATACACTTTCGGAATTTGACTACATTATTTTAGGATACATATTCATAACAATAATTTCACAGTTGTTAACAGTTGATTGGTAAATAATATAATCGTTGCAATTGGTAAATAGTACACTGTACAAGCGGCGACGTGCGAATGATGATTTCAAAACACATCCTATTAAAGGCGCCCGTTTTTCCTTTTGAGAACGGAAATATTTCATGGAAATTTTAACTTTATATACATTTCCAGTTAAACGAGTTTCAGTCTTATGTATTTAAGATATAGTTCATTTTTGAAAAACAAATTTTAAATATATTCTTGTTTTTTTAATCGAAATTTATCGAAATTATGTTACTTATTTCTAGTATATTTATCAAATGCTTTCGTTTGGTACTAAAGTCTAAAATTTTATTTAAGTCTAATCACAATAATCCTTAGTATTTGTTCATAATGTCGAACGAAACACTTTTATATCCAACAATCCTATATAATAGTGTATAATATATTTATAATGGTTCTGCAACATAATACTCTAAGGGCACTGATGGTTTTGAATCTGTATGCTTACTATAAGTTTGCATCGTCACTACATACGAAGCGTTTCCCGTCTCTCACTCACTAACATACGTCAAAACTAATAATGTGAGGATATTGATGAATGAAAAAATATTAATGCTGTATAGTATGACGATGCAAATATATGGTAAGCATACATTTACCAGTGAGTTAGTTAATGATAGTAAGTTTAAGATATAATTTAAGTTTTTACAATAAGATTTTTTATATAACAAGTCTGTTATAAAAAGTTTTAAGGCCCAGTATATTGACTTGTAAGAACAATGTTTTTCAGTAAGTACGAACTTGTGTTTTACATTTGATTATTGAATATTCGATAAAGTATATGTATTATTTATATTTGAGTTATTTTTCGATGTTTTTCATTTAGCAGACTTTAAAATTACTTTTCAGAAATATGATCACGAAAAGACGAGATGAAAATATGCTTTTTATATAAAATCTGTAAAACATTTCTGTGTATTTAATTATAATGATATATAAATATTCTTAATTAATACAATTAATCATTATATAAATGAAACAAATATTTTCGGATTACTACATACGCGTATATTACTATTTAAAAAAATTTACATACTCCCGACGTTTCATTTACTTTGCAGCAACCATGAACACGATATTTAAATAATACTCGTAGTAATCCAAAAATATTAGTTTCATTTAAATGAATACTCACAAAATCCTGTTTTTATTTAATTTCAGACCGATAAAACTAAAAGGCATGTTATCGTTAATAGAGAATACAGCGAATGATTTTTTGGCATTAATAAAGAAAATTATAAGCAATGGTAGTGTAAGGACGAACAATAATCTGGCGACGTGTGTAGTATCAGATAAATTACTAGGTGGCTATACAGCTGATGCTATTGTGCCTTGTGCATTTGGGGTCAAGAGTAGTGTCATGGCACACCATAATGACCCCTTCGCCGTAGCACTGGCCGCCTTCTATGAATGCTCTTTGTGGAATATATTTGAAAAGTACGTAATTATATTATTTTTGCCTAATTTAGTTAGTAATTAGTGACAATAACTTGGTTAAGACTAGATTAGTTTTCGCTGTAAACCTAGCAGCTTCAGTATTCCACTGTATCCTCTAAAGAACGCGCAGAAATTACACGATTTAATTCCTATATTAGTCTATAGGGCAACTATTAGTCTATTTTCTATTGTTGGACAACTCATGACGAGTCTCCATACATTCATTGCTAACCTTTCTATATCTTGACCAAGCTATACACTACCTTCTTCCTCATACAACAACGATTGGAACAGTTTACCTCGTATATTTTCTTTGAGTTATAATTTGTCTTCAAGTCAACATTGAATTGATATAAAACATAGTTTTGATATATCTCAGACCCTAATTCAGAGGGTAGGTCTCATCATTTCACCTACCTCTCTTGGTGACACTGTCAAATTAGGGTTAACAGCTACAGTTAAATTGAAACGAAAAATAGTTTTCCTCTAATGTTTTATTTCCACCTACTAATGACATGACAAGAATGTACTAACTCATCCATTAGACTAATTCATCCATTTATGAATCACTAATTCATCCATTTATGAATCACTAGCTGCGCCCCGCGGATTTCCGGGATGTAAAGTAGCCTATGTGTTATTCCTGGACGTCAGCTTCATGTATACAAAATTTTATCATAATCAGTTTAGCCGTTTGAGCGTGAAGAAGTAACAAACATACACACACTTACAAACTTTTGCAATTATAATATTAGTAGGATTGTATTTATGCATCCATTAATAAATCCATCAATTTATTCGTTAAAAAACATAATACTCATTGCTTTAAACAATGATTCGTTTTTGTTTCAGAACGATGCGTACCTTTTGGCCGGCTTTCGTATTGTTTTTCAAAATACGCATAATACCAAAGAAAACACACGATTTCTTCTTCAACGTGGTGTCCAATGTTATAAAAGAGAGAGAAAGTGGTGAGAAAAACTATATAATAATATTATTATAATAAATTAACTTAATATGTATTAATCGTATGATAAAACACAATTTACAAACACTGAAATTCTTTTGATGTGACTTTCACTAATTCATAGTTCAAAACAGCGATGTAAAATGCATTTTAAGCTTTAAATACTCAATAATAAGATACAAAGTCGCGTGTATAACTAGTATATATAGTGTGAAAGTGAAAGTATACTCGCATCGTATAACAGATGTCAATAATATTTAACCGACCAAAACAAATAAGGTATTGTTATTGACAGCGGCTCGGGTTTATTTGATGTGAACAACAAACATCCCTGTGTGTTTGTACTCACTACGTATTATAAGATGTCCGTTTGTTTGACTTTAATACATAAACAGTATTATTAGAATATTTTAAGGAAAACCTTTACTTAAACTCAGCTGTTTCGATTTTATCAAATTATTTGGTTGGTTTATATATACTATAAGAAATTATTCATTATATAAATTGTTTTAATGTATGTCTGTCTTCGAAGGTGTTCAAGAGAAACGAGGTGACTTTATAGACATGATGATGGCTCTTAAAGATGAACGGGACGATGATGATGAAGATGATTTCAGAATCAGTAAGTACACACACACACACGCACACGCACGCACGCACGCACGCACACACACATCTAACATTGTACAAACGTACATAAAAGTTACAAGGTATATCAAATAATAACTATAAGATATACTTCTGTACTTTAAATCATTATTTATATTATATGTGGTCACTAGACAGCGCTAGTGTCCTCATAAGTCAACACAACGCTTGTACTATTGACGAAAAAAATATCATAATAAGTATGTAGTATGTACTCTTAAAAACTGATCATTATTTTTAATTTTACATAAAAAAGAAATTTATTTTTACTAGAAATAAAAACAATGAAATTTAGTTTTTATCTAAATAACCGATAAAGATATAAATAAATAATAAAAACGGGGAAGAATAGAAATGGGGAGAAATACAAACATTATACAACTTCTTATCTTAGTAATTGTAATGTCAGTAATAAACTTACAATAGCATACATCATTACTATTTGAGCTCGATTTGAATTTTGGTATCAGATATACGATATTATTATAATACGAGCTGAGATGAAACGCTAGATCATTATCCTTAGTACGAGTTAAAATAGATTTACTACACACGGACAGTATCGAGTTTATTTTTACATTCAATTACACACGTAAATACATTAAAATATACTATCACATTCATTTTAAAGTTTAGTCAGTGGTGGCCTAGTGGATAAAAGGCCCGCCTCTCATGAATGAGGACGCGGGTTCGATCCTGGCGCTGGCAAGTACTAATGTGATTTTTCCGAGTCATATGTACATACTTTCTAAGAGTATTTAGACATCACTGATTAATGCATTCCAAGAGGGTTAATGTCAGGCAGGCGGCCGGTCGTGAAAACAAATAGCCAAACCTATATATAACATGTAAGGCATTGACATATTAGTTACTTGTCTAATCTAATGTCAAAAAAAAAACGTTTGTATCAACAACTACTACATAATAAATTAAAAATTAATTAAAAACACATTGTCCGGCCGACAAAATTTTGGATCTATACAATTCCCAGATCCCCTTGAACACACACACAAAAAAATTCATCAAAATCGGTCCATTCGTTTGAGTGAAGTTCAGTGACATACACACACACAGAAGAATTATATATATGTATAAAGATATATGTATGTTTTAAACTAACAATTTCTTCTAGCTAACATGGTGATAGCTGGTAACGCGTTCATAATATTCCTGGGTGGTTTCGAGACTAGTTCGTCCACCCTGGCCTTCTTGTTCTTGGAGCTGGCAGCGCAGCCACGCGTGCAGGAGGAGATGAGGAAGGAAATAATACGAGTGTTGGACAAACACGGAGCTCTAACACACGATATGTTGCAGGATCTGACTTATATGGATATGGTCATACAAGGTATATACCTAAACATATATATATCTTTAAAATATATAAATGTATATAAAATTTCCATGTCACAATGTTAGTTACCGTACTTTACCGATTTTTACCTAATCTTATATACATATTCAGTAGGTCTAAGAATCGGCTACTATCTATTTTTCACACCCCTAAGTTATAAGTTGTTCGCCTTTAATTTCTTTTTTGGACAGAATTTTTTAAGTGGCATAAAAAATACATACAACCCTAAATTTTTATGGCGAAATAACGTTTGCAGGATGAGCTGGTATATTTATGTATTATATACTAGTTTTTGCCCCGACTATCAAAATTAGAAATGTATGTCAAGGTGAACTCTGTTCCTTGTTTTAGGCAGTAAATGAGAAGATTTTGAATTTCATATTTTTTTTGATAAAAGTATTCTGTCTTTTCCTGATTCTAAGCTATATCTCCACCAATTTTCAGCCAAATCCGTACAGCCGTTCTTGAGTTATAAATAGTGTAACTAGCTGTACCTTCTTTTATATATAAATATGACAAATATATTTTTTCCTTCATATTTCAGAGACCCTCCGTCTGTACCCGCCCTTCCCCACCATCCAGCGCGTGTGTACTCGCCCTTATCAGTTACCGGGTCGTGACGTCATCATCCCTCCCGGCACCATCATTCTGTTCCCAACCCTTGGGTTACACAGGGATGAACAGGTAATATTATCTATACTAATATTATAAAGCTGAAGAGTTTGATTGTTTGTTTGAAAGCGCTAATCTCCGAAACTACTGGTATTACCATATAATGAGATCTAAGTCTGTCGAGAGTTTCATTCATTGAAACTAATATTTTTTCGGATACACTAATCAGTTTATTTAAAAAGAGTTTAAACATCTCGTCTGCCCGTGATCACGGTTGTCGAAAAGTAGCAGAATCGTCGGGAGTATGTAGTTTTTAATATTGTTTTTTACAAAAACAAACCGCGTAGTATATACGAAGAATATTGGTTTCAATAAAATTATATTACAACATATACCTATATATAATATATGAAACTAATTAATTAATTAAGACATTATAGCTCAAATTAAAATGGTACCGGGACTCGATATATAGAAAGTCACGAATTCGATTGTTTCAAATATTTATTTGTATTAAGTAAAAATTATTCTCCAGAATTTTTATAATGATATATTATATGCATGATAATGTAATAGAAATTTTAAAATTTCGTTAAAGATAAAAAATCTGATACATTACTAGAGAAAGTGTTAAGAATTTATTACCAGTTAACACTGGTTTCATGAATATTCATTCATCTCATTTCAAATAAATTCAATACACTTTATCTAACATTACTATTATAAAACGTTAACTTTAACAAATAAATATATTACATATTTATCATAAAGACATTACTGAATATTGATAAAAAATAACCATTTCTCTTGTTCTTGAGATAATTTCAAACATTCATACATACATAGTATATTAATATCAAATGTTCTAGTACTTCGAGAATTCGTCCTCATTCACACCGGACCGCTGGCGAAGTTCGCCCCCGCCCGGTGTATACGCGCCCTTTGGAGACGGACCCAGATACTGTATAGGTAACAATAATACATTAACATATCATTATCATCATCATCAGCCTATCAGAGCCCACTGCTGAGACTCTCCTCACATGGAGAAGGTTTGAGCATTAATCACCACGCTTTCTCAAGACGCGTTGGTGATTTCAAACTTATAATTGTGAAACTATAAGTCCAGGTTTCCTCACGATGTTTTCTTTCACCGTATATCAGTGGTGTCTAAATACTCTCAGAAAGTACATATGACTCGGAATATCATATTGATTCTTGCCAGTTTTTGAACTTGCGCCCTCATGCATGAGAGGCGGACCTTTAACTAATAGGCCACCAAGACTTTTTTTTACATACATACATTATTACGAAAAATGCTGTAATTTATAATATGAAGTACTAAAAAATAAAGTCATTTATTACAAGTGGCTAAGAAACTATTTTTTGAACAAATATAGTATTATTTTAGTTTAAATTATTATCAATTTAAACTAAAATATATGTTTTCTTTACATAAAATATTATCTTATTAATGTTCTGTACCTTAATACAAGTCTACATCGTCACAACATACGTAACGTTAACAGTTTCGAAATTTACTATCACTTAGGTTATTTAATAAAAAACGGGAACGTTTAACAATGAAAACCGGCCATAATATGTTATTAAATAAATAACTGTATATATAATTTTTTTCTTGTATTTCAGGTAAAAGATTCGCCCTAATACAAATGAAGTGTTGTCTAGTGAAGTTGTTGCCCCACGTGTTCATATCACCTGTTTCTGAACGTGGCCGGGATCCATTTCCGGTCGATTTAAAGTCCCCGATGACGTTACATCCGGCCGATTCCAGGGTTTGCCTTAGTCTGATAACACCGACTAAGTGTTAACCCTATATAAAATATGATATAAAATATACTATTAATGATTACAAAGATTAATGTTGTGATAAAAATATATTTTTTATTATTAAAATAGATAATAAATGTTTTAAATTTATTACAGAGGTTTATTTATCGAATACCTATTTATTTTGTATTTAAAATCTTTAATTTCTAGCAATAATTGAAATAAGATTAAATTTTTATTATATGTTTATAAGTTATATACTGAAATTATTCTATTGGCTGTCACTAATCAAATCCTGCGGCTATACTGAAAAAGGAAATTATTCAAAAGTTGAAAAAATGAATACACACGAGACGTTTAGGACAAATTAATCTTAAGATAACCGAGATAGAATTATATAAATAGAAAAAAAATCAATATAGGTTTCTCCAAAGATAACCAATACTCCTTAAACTGATTTTTATAGTCGTTGGATGTAGGCGTGATATGATTAACAGATAGTTATTGTAATTCCTAAACAAGAAAACAGTGCTTAGGGCAGAACATAGTGACTAAGTTTATAAATAACTAAATTTAAGGTTAATAAATTACGAAAAAACTATAAAAAAAATCTAGTAGAACTATATTATATTTTAATAATATTCCATATGAATAAATAGTTGTAAAATATGTTTATACTAATAAAAAACAAATATGAGAAAGTATTCAAAAGTAAAATATTTTTTGAATTCTATATTTCTGTTTAAGACAATTTACTTTTCTGATATTTTATATTTATACACACATATATATGTACATGTTTATGTGTTCCATATTGCCTTGTTTTTTTTTAGATTTACATTCTAAATAACATTACGCAATTATTTCGATATCGTCAGATCAATCTCAGGATATTTATATCTTGTGCTTTAGTAACAAGCTAGCGTGAACAATTGATTCGTTCAACTTTCACGACTGCCGAGAGTAAAGTGCAGACTTGAGGCATATCGAGAAGTGTATTCCTTGAAATTCCTAGTTAAAATGCCTTAGGAACAATAAGGTCGAAAACTATAGAATATGAACATTTATACGTCAAATTAAAATCAAACATTTATACGTAATTGTATAGTCAAGTTATTTTTAGTATCTCTTTCTATTGAACTTCACCCACGCAATACTACTTTGTTTATATTTCACTATAATGAAATAATCTATATATAAAAAAGAAAGTTGTGTTAGTTACACTATTTATAACTCAAGAACGTCTGTAGGGATATGGTTGAAAATTGGTGGAGAGATGTAGCTTAGAATCAGGAGACGGACATATAGAGGGTGACTGGTGAATTACTATCGATATTTGAGGACGTGATATTTGACGATCATATATGACAAAATAAAAATTAATATAACATAAATATTAATAAACTTCTAAGTAAAGTTAACCAAAAGTTATGTAATTAATTACGCATCGTGTGAGCACCCTACAGATTAGGTATACACACACACACATACGCGCGCGGCGGCGTGTTGTTGTATCAGCACGCCGCCGCACGCGTCCACACTTGGAACACTTGGAACGTGTACACACTTTATTTATTTATACGGAAATTTGGTCAAAAATTAAGTACCTATTTCTTTTACATAATTCGAATGAGAATCATGTACCGAGTATGCTCCCTAAATATTGATAGTAATTCACCAGTCACCCTGTATATTTAATTTTATTCGACGGAAACAGAAAAAAAAACTTATAAAATTCCAATATGACGTTATTTATGGCATCTAGGTTGGAAAAGAGTTGGTGCGGTCAGCTATATATTACTAAAGCCGAAATTAACGCGGACGAAGTCGCGGACAAAAACTAGTAATATATAAACAATATACCTATTACTTTATTTAAAAAACTCATACGTACTAGATGTCCCTTGTAAAGGTGAAATCATTTATCAAAGAGATTTTATAAGTTATGAATTCTGTGGCACGACGTTTTTAAATCAAGCCACGTTATAGGCGAGGGAGTTGCGAGCTCACGTACTAAGAGATAAGTAACGTTATCCCACATCTTTGCATAATAAGCATTGAACTTTAACAATCTGCTGCGGCCTGAGTAGAAATAAACTTCAGTTTTATATAGAAAATATTATACAGAAGACAGCATGCGAATTTGTATCTAAATTAAATGGAAATAATAACTAATTTCGCTTGTGTCTTGAGTTGCATTTGACCTATATATCATTCAATGTGGTATTTTGTTACAAAGTTGCATATAAAATAGTGCGTGGCTTTGTTGTTAATCCAAAATCCATATGGTGTGTAAGGAAACCTAATAGTGGGGCCTTAACAAATATTCAACTTATTTACTTAGATTTGTATTGAAATAAAATAATTTCTGTCATTTATATCCCGTTTAAATCGGTGGCAGATAAGTGTAGTGAGAGGAATGAGTAATAATAATAACTATCATTCATTCTGTATGATATTTCTCGTCAATATTATTATAGTTTTCAAATTTTATACCTACATAGAATAAGGATATGAAATTTTTGTGTTTAGTTTTAGCACTAATAGATGAATTTTTAAGGAATAGTTTTATTAAATTCATCTTTTATTATTATTAAAAAAATCACATTTTGGCGTCAGTACAGACGAATTAAACGTCACGTTTCACTTGAAGTATTCGACCCCAAAATAGTTTCTTAAGTTTTTAAATTCTTAGTCTTTTCTAAAATTCCTAAAGTCCTGAGAGAAAGATCATAATAAAAAGATTTCCGCAGATATTTTGAAGTATGCATCCCCAAATAGGTAAGTATCCTGACATGAGAAAATATGTATTCCATATAAAATTTGTGTCTTACGTAAGTATTTATAAATATTTTATGAGTAAAATTGTTTGTATTTATTATTAAACTTAAAATTGTATTAACTACATGCAAATTATGAAAACAAAACCCCATTTATAAGACCATAACATAAGTATAACTGAATCAAGGCGTCAGATATAATGCGGAATAAGAAAAGCGTATATAATCTGAAAGGTTTGAAAAAAAAAAACTAGCGTCCGCGACAGATCTTTCAAAAGACCCTCATAATTTCGAAACGGGGCCATTAAAAAGTGGGTTTTTCATTCCTTTCACGTCACTTACAAGGGATCCTATCATAATTACGATCTGTGACTTGAAAGACGTCGTGATAAGGACCCATCCTTACAATGTACCATCCTTTAATCCATAGAATCATTGAAGCTAAGAGACATTGATAGTATGAAAGTAAACTACTCGATAAAATATTACCTACTCTTATAAAATAACAACAAATAATAAAGGAGATCGAAAGTATTTCATAAAATTCTGTGCCCTAAATGTAGACATGAAAAAAGTATCAATTAAAGGTTTAAAATTAAGAGTCTCTTCATTGAAAATTCTATAGAAATTGACAATCAGATAGCTGAGCTATTGGAGGTTTAGTAAAAGTAAGTTTATATTGCATTATCTTTAAGAATTTGATGAATTCACGTAAAAGTATGTGAAAATGATAATTTTATTTAGAAGAGAATATCTTATAAGTCATAAGGCAATAAAGACTCAAAGACATACAGATATAGGTAACAAGTATGGAATTACTACGAGGAACAGGAGTGAACTATATGATAAAAGGCTTACAATAAAAGAAATAATTTTAATAGAATATTTTATTCCTCTACAATAATAATTAAAATGTCGTCTAGGAACTGTGCAGGGGGTACAATATTGTGGTACCTTGCCCAGCTAAGGTACAACTAACAATTCCAAGTCAAACGTGCAGGCGATCGTCGGTGTCAAATGTGAAAGCAAGGGTCGTAAAATGTAGGCGGGTTCGAAGTCCGTAAGAAACAAAGCAGTGGTCATTGAAAACGTAAAATGATCGGGAAAGCACTCGAAACGTATCAAAAACACGAAACAAGTGAGACTCAGATAACAATGCATCTGATATGGTAATTGTTAAGCGTCAATGTCATGTTGCCATAGACTATATACTGAATGATTTCGATCGAATCGAATCGAATGGAATCGATAATTGAAAAGGATGTTTCAAAATAATATTTAAAATTATTATTGTATATTACACGTTATTAAAAGTTATATTTATTGCATTGTAGACATATATGGTGTAGTTTAAATGAAGTTACTATAAGTTTAAAACTAGGAGTGAATTTTTTATTTTGTAGTTAAATAATCGAATAATCATTTTTTATTTAATTAATCGTTAATCGATTACTTCATAAAAACAGTTATTTGCATATTTCTCCGCTTGTAGATTGAGAATTTATGCAGATTTTTGGTCCACCAGTTTCCATCTCCTTTTCGTACATTAAATTTATTTTATTTATATATAAAATATAAAAATTAAAATCAGAATATACATCATATTAATTTAATTAAAAAGTATCTAATACATATACACGTCCATACAAAGAGTGTATTGAAACTTTAATAAGACGAGGGTATAACAAAAACTAATTTATGTTAGGTATATTTCATTTCATTGTTTATATTTGTAATAGAAACACTCTGGTTATGTACTCAGAATGCTTAGTTGACTATTTTATAACGTTGTTACAGTATTTAAATGTCCATCGTAATGTGCAGACTTGATATTTGATTCGTGTGTGAATTAAACGTGATTATAAATGGATACCCAAGGTAATTTATATAGTTCAATCCTAAGATCTTTAATTAAATTTAATTATAAGGTAACTTTTTATCTTTTATAAAGTAACGTATAAGAAAATTTTCTAATTTATTTCGTTGTTTCTTTTGTGCTTATAAATTGAATGATCTTGAATGTCTATATGTATCTCCAATTCATTTAAATACATCACTTTTTCTTTTAAATAAATGGTAAAATATATGCTTATGTTGGGGTACTTTGTAAATCAAAGCGTCTTAAATTAACAAGTCATTATAAAATATAAATAAAAATATACGAAGATAAAGGATAAGGATTACAAAACTTACTTTTTTGAGTGTTTTTATTTTATTGAAGTTTTAAAGTTAAAAAGTATTAGCTTAAAGAAGGCTTAAACTTAAATGATGCCGTGCTATTGTATATTGCTAGGCGTTTGTAAGCCACTGAAGTGTAGTTCTCGGGTTAGTTCGTGCGTACTCGGCTAACTTCGTGGCAGCTCTTGTCCGCTGAGTAATGCTTTCGAAAAGACTTAAATAACAATATGGTAGGATAATCTATATATATAAAAGAAAGTCGTGTTAGTGACTTCACTTATAACCCAAGAACGGCTGAACCGATTTAGCTAAAAATTGGCAGGGAGGTAGTTTACAACCAGGAAATTGCAATAGGATACTTTTTATCCCGTTCGACAGCATTCCCGTGGGACTTGACATGAAACGTCAGTCATTATAAAACGTGGAATAATACAATTCACAGCTATGCAATTGACGTATAATGACACATATGTAACGACGTATGGATGACAATTAGATATTTGTAAGAAATCTACTATATAAAAATAAATATTCACTTAACTAATAAAGATTCACTTTCAAATGAAAACTATATATATAAAAGAAAGTCGTGTTAGTGACTTCACTTATAACCCAAGAACGGCTGAACCGATTTAGCTAAAAATTGGCAGGGAGGTAGTTTAGAACCAGGAAATTGCAATAGGATACTTTTTATCCCGTTCGACAGCATTCCCGTGGGACTTGACATGAAACGTCAGTCATTATAAAACGTGGAATAATACAATTCACAGCTATGCAATTGACGTATAATGACAGATATGTAACGACGTATGGATGACAATTAGATATTTGTAAGAAATCTACTATATAAAAATAAAAATTCACTTAACTAATAAAGATTCACTTTCAAATGAAAATTTTCCTTTTCAAATATAAAACAAAAAATTCTTCATCTTTTAATCACCAAACGAAATGTTATATAAAAGCTCTGGTGGCGAAACGGAGTTCGCCAGGTTTACTAGTTTATATATAAAAATAAATATGCATGTTTAAGAATGTATTAATTTAGTTATTTAAGATTTAATGTTGATAATAACTAAAGTTATAGTTATACGTAATATCGTTCAAGAGTTTGTTAAAAACTAGGTCAGGGCTTACGGCGATTAGAATCCTTTGGATGAAAAAAGAAATGATGTTTAGCGTTTTCAAGAGATGTTTATAAGAGATTTCATCGTATATATAAAACTTTATGTACTATTCTGAGGCAAAAAAAATGTAAAAATTGAGTATAATTAATAATAAATGATAGTTATTAATTTGTTTTAAATTTTTTTTTTGATTCATAAAACTATATAAATCTTTGGATAAGTTTCTAGAACGTTTCTTTTTATTGAAAAAGTAATAATTGCTTTGACTTTGGTATTTAATGTTATTCGTGTAATTAGTGGACAATTTTAAAATTTATATTAAGTTTTTGATAACTTTTCAGTCATGTTAAGAAAATAACATTATTGTTGAAATAAAAAAAGTTACTTTTTTAAAGAATTTTTTGTAGCATAATGTTAATTATCTCACAGTACGTTCAATATGAAGCCTTTAAATTTTACGATAATATTCAGATGATACTTATGATCTACATGAGAGAGATTTGAATCTGCTACCTACGGAATATCTCGTTTCAATTGTTTATCAAGTAAGCTATAATACCCCGGTTCAAATTACAGTGGAAGTAGTAGGAAAATACTTGGAATACTGTTCGTGAGAATATTTTTTTTTTTAAATTCTGTATTATCTTATTTAAATTTAAATTCCAGACATTATTTGTCTTTATTACTGTCATTTCATATAATGTCAACAATTTGTTTTTAAAAGAATAGTTGTGTGCGTGTGTGCCTATGTGTGTGTGTGTGTGTGTGTGTGTGTGTGTGTGTGTGTGTGTGTGTTTGTGTGTGTGTATGCATTTCTGTTTCCTTGTTTAAGATACAAATAAAATTTCGTATGAAGTAGCTTTAGGTCATCCTTGTCCAAAAAGATTTAGGTTTAGTAAAAAATATCAAAAAATTGTGAATAATATTTCAGATTGGAAACTGATTGAAATTGAAGAGGAAGACGATGTTTTAGATGATCTTATGAGGTTATTGGACGAGGAACAGCGAGCGGTGTTTTGTAGTTATCGTTACAAAAGTAAGAACACTAAAAATTTTCTATACAATCCATATTATGTATGAATATATAATTTTTATTATGTTTTTTTTTGCAGTTCCACTTCAATTTTTAGCAGATCGTAGAGAAAGGTTAAAGGAATTGTTGATAAAATCACAGGACACATTAGATTCGTCTCAAAACTCAACTTTTCCGTCTTCAAATCTGCCAAACTGTCGTCCATGTAGTGTCCGAATAGTTGATTGTAATAAATATCCACAATACTTCGAACGGGAATATAAAATAAAGAGCTTGGTCACTTTGGAAGAAGATATAATAGATGTAGATGAAATAGAAAACTTTAGACAAGATTCATTTCGCAACAAAGAAATAGAATTCACACAAGATCAAAGTAAAAGTAAGGAAGAATTTAACACAGCACAAGTAATTGCCTTCAGTGGTGGCGAAAAATTCGTCAATGAAGAAATATATAAAGACAATCAAAGATTCGATTTACAAGTACAGCGAAGGAAAGCTCAAACTAAGGAAATAGAACAGGGTCTGGGACAGTTGAATAATGAAGATCAAAATTTTAATGGTTGTAATAAAACGTGTAATGTTCTAATAAAATCAAGACCACTGTATGATAAACATCACAAAACAGCTCCAGAATTACCATCAATTAATGTCGATAATTACTGGCCGACTTCGAAATCTCAGGATAATTTAGACAAAAATATGATTGAGTCAAAGAAAATAAGTAATAAATATAGCAGGAATCCAGGCACAGCTAACAAACTAACCGATAAAAGGAAACAATTACAGAATAAGTGCTATAGTCTTTCAAAAGGTGGATTTAATATGACAAACTCTATAAAATTTAACCAAAAAAACAGTAAAAATATAAACCAAATTAAGAAAACTATAACATGGGTACCTCCTATATTAACTGACGCAGTACCAGAAAAAGTTATTGAAGAAAGAGTGCCAGTCTATGATGAGAACTGTCCATACAGAATTGGATGTCAGAAGACATTTAAAAGTTCCCGTAGAATAATACCCCATTACCATGAATATCCAACTCAATATGAAAAAGGAAATGGGAGGAAAAATGCAAAGACAGGAGGAAAAAAACAGAATCATACGACATTAAAGCATTTAAGTAATTTTAATACTTGTTATCCTTTAAATTATGGACATGTAAATGAGAATGTGGTTCAAAATAAATCAGTAGATGATTGTTATTTAGCTAATAGTAATAAATTACATTACGGTGTTAATAATTCAAATAATAATAATATTTTTGATATATCACAACCTAATAATGTAAGTAATAATAGCGGAGTGTGTAATGAGAGAAATTCATTTTACAAATACATTGATCCAACCACATATAATAAGAAATTAATCCTCAATAGTGGAGGTAGTTTAGTAAGTCAAAGACCAGAAACATTCAGACCATTAGATGAAGAAAGATCTCTCCATCAATTTAATTCGTCAAACGGACATGAGAGTATTTTTTCACCATTTTTTCTTACTTCTCTAGATTGTAATGTATATGACATATCAAATAATTCTCAAAATATTGAAATTTTTCCAATAACAAGTTCTGAAAGAATGATTAATAACAATGTTAATGAAGTCGAAAGTATTTCGACGAGATCTAATGAAACTTTTTTAGAGAAATATATAAACTTCCTTAAAAATATAAATTCAAGGAAGTCAAGGGTCTTCAAGAAATGATTTAACGAATAATAATCATTCATTTGAAGTTAATTAGTGCTCAAAAATATATATTGATTAGGAACATATAAAACAACTTACAACCATTTATCACATAATATAAAACTGTAAAGATCCTTACATAACAATGTATTTTTTACTTCGCTCTAATTTGTTAAAATTCTTAGAATTATAGGCTCATTATAGGAATTCTGAGAATTCTGGTAATTATAGGAATTCTAAGAACTTTAGGACTGATTCAATGTTATAATTCCAAAGTTTTCTGACAAAGTCCATATTTTCGCACATTATGTTTGATTGATTATTGATCAATTTGATAATTATTTCTATTTAGTAAAAGCAGAGGAAATATGTTTTTTTTTTGTTATTAAGTGAAGTATTTATGATTTTTTTTTTGTTTTGTTTTTATTTTTATATTATATTCAAACTTATTCGTTATATTTAACTTTGTAAAGAGGTATAGAATATATTTAAATATTTCATTTATTCTTGCTTTTATTCCAATAGTCTTACGTCATCATTGTTTTTGACGTTGACAGTATATATGAAGGAATACAGATAACAAATATACCTACAATGAATTGTTACTATGATCTTCAGATAATATTGGATTAATAAAAGATGATAAATAAGAAAGGATGAAATATTTAAAAACATTCCAAATGTTACTAACTGGCAAGACAGATCCGAATTTTTTCTTATTTCCTTGTATGAAAATCACTATGAATATTTTGAAATTTTTCAAAACCCACTTGTAATTTTTATTACAACTGACTGTTTATATTAAATTCGTTTATTAAACCCGTTGTTTAATTTCTTTGTTTTATATGTTTACATATAGGGTTATTTTTAAAGGACTAAAATTAAAATAAAAATGAAAATCGTAGAATTAGGAATTGACCGACATTAAAAAAATTTGATAATAAGAAATAAAGGCGACTAACTCATTTATTTGAAATTAAATTATACATTGAAACATACATATGTAGTACATTGGAGTTTTTTGGTCTTAGAAGATCTCAGAACACATCACATTTTTGTTATTCTATAAGATGATCAAAACGCCTAGAAATAATTGAATACGAATTTCGGAAGACTATTCACACTTAAATTAAATAAAGGAGGTATATACATATGTATGTCACTTATAGTTGAGTGATAAATACAGGAGAAAAACATTTTATCAAACAAACCTTTATTCCCATATATGTATGTATGCTCCTTGTTTTACTCATAACATCGTGTGCAAGTGATGTCACGGGCAGTCAGTAGTATTATACAAAGTTTTGATGTAACACCTATCTATATGTCCGTTTCATTGTTGAGTGTCGCATTGCGTTGTGAATCACTGTTTGCATTTGTTTAAATAATACCAACAAATGGTGTTTTGTATGCCATAACTCATTTTGATCGTAAATTGGATTAATACGACAATAAATAATACGGAAATTTTAATATTATATGATAAAAATAAAAAACAAAATGAGGAATCAATTTCAATTTTTTAAACGTCTCATGTTTTATGTAATGCAATGCAAGTAATCATTGCAATTTTCAAAGTAACGCCTTATTTGTTAAATCTGTTAATTTATAAGAACATAAAGATTGATAAAAAAAGGACGAATATATTCTTAGTATTCAATTTATTTTTCAGTCCTACTAAAATAAAAATGTATATTTTTCTAGTCTTTTTCTTAAGAATTTCCATATGATAATCATTGTAAAATTATTTGTATAAAATTTTATATCAGCTACAATTAAATTACAAATATTATTCTCAAAAACTTTTAAGTCTCATATTATTTATATAAATACAAAGTTTGTTGGCAAATTGGATGGATTCCAATTTCTAGATAAAAATTATTTGCTTTAACAAACAATCTTATCTTTGGATACGTTGAGTTTTGAAAGGTTATTACTTATATTTAAGTTGAAAGATTACTTTTCTTAAATTTTAAAACAAACTTTCCTTAACTTATCAGACGTAGGTATTATTTATTTTATTTTTTATTTGAGATACAATTAAATAAAAAAAAATATTTTATTTTTTAAAAAAAGGGGAAAAATATTCTTTGTAAATTTCGTTTGTCAAGTTTTTTAAATGATTCACACTGAAATTATGGAATATTCTTGCCAAAGTCAACGTTTTTATTTGTTGGAAAAATTATAATCTTGAATACTGTGTGGAGAAAACACGGAGTTTGAATGGGATAAAGGCGTTAAGTTTTCTTTTAAACAATTTTGTTTCATATGTTTTTTATATCAATTTTATATGTATTGTGGTTAGTTTTTAATTTCAACATTTCAAAGCAATTATTAATATTAAATAGTCTATATTGTAATTGTAATAAAATTTTAGAACACTTGTAAAATTGCCTTAGAACACTTAATTAAAAGTCTATCTGCATTGAAGTACACTTCAGTTCTACTGGAAGGAGTGAAATTATAACGTGGCTTGCTTTAATTATTTTAATCAAATTAGTTAAAGGTGAATAATAATTTGAAGTATTTTTATTTTCATACAGATATAATTAAGTACATATATATATTTTTAATTTTATATTTTCATTTTGAAGGTATGATTATTATTTTCTAAGCAGAAAACATTGGATATATTTTTAAGAATAATTGCAGTCACTTCCAATATGAAAACTCCGTGAGTAGTGTGATTATGCAAACTGATGGTAGGAAAATAACATAACATGTAAAGTATATATCAAAAACTAAAGCAGTTGCATACTGACGGAGTTTAAATAAGATTTGATTTGTATTAAATCACGTGACACAAAAATATGATGGAGCTGACTTATTTGACATGTTTATATAACTTAAACATACTTTATAAATTTTTTAGAATCCAATACCAGAGGCAAAAACTAGAATATTTTTGAGTATATCAAGAAATATATCGGTTTACAGAAACGTTCCTACGGATTTACGATAACAAATCTTTTAAGAGTAATATCAAGTCATTGAATTCGAGGTACATATTTCAATATTTAAAATTTCTACACAACAAATGTTAAAAGTATATACTTACAAATGATTTTCGTTATATATAACGCTTAAATCAATTCATTATATTATATATTTTAATCAATTTCATAAATCTATTAAACAATGAGAGTAATTAATGTTTGAGAAGATCGAATAATGTCAAGATAATATCTTAATTGAACAATGGACACTATTTGTGTCAAATAATTGATTAATTAAGCAATGTCAAATATTTAAGAACGTAAAGCAATTAAATAGTTTATTTAAGATAGTGCTTAAAATAATACAACGCGAAGTGTAAAGAAATAGTCACTTTCAAAGTCAATAATCAATTTTAATTTAATATTTTAAGAGGGTTGATATAAGGCAGGCGGCCGGTCGTAAAAACACTTAGCCAAAACTATTCACAACATGTAAGGCAGACCCTGGCTAAAGCTGGGAAATTGCCAGGTAGAAGAAGAAGATTTTAAGTTATTATATTGAAGAATATAAGTAATCATATAAGTTATAATGAAAAAAAGGTGTTTTGTGTTAATTTGGAAATGTAAAGGAAATTCAAAGAATTTTGTTGTTATGAAAACTTCGACAGATTTATGTTATACATTTATTAGAAATTCGACATTGGTGAATTTTTGTTTTAAATGGAGTTTCAATCGAATTGCGTCCTTGCATTTTTATTCCATATCAAGTTTTTAAAATGTTTTAAACGAAAAAAGTTTCCCACCCAGACACAGACATACACGCAAACTCACTAAAATGAACATATGAATTTCTCTTGAATTACTCGTTTAAAAAAATATATATTTCATACCAGGAATCTGTCCAAGCATTTTAGAGTAATAAAATAGAAATATTTTCAGAACCCGATTCTGGAATTTGTAGAATTCTTTATAAAAATGATTATTTCAAAATTCCACCAAAATACTAAAGTTACATAGATGTGATAACCTTCCAAATATTTGTACGCCTGTAGCTATAGTGCCTTATTGTTTTAATCCATAATTCTAGGTGTATCATAACTACCTAAATTTTAAGAAAGTTTATTTGAATATGTCGTGTATTTTTCTTTTTTATTTGTATTATGCATCAAGCCCTCTGTAAATAAGAATAAGTTCAAGATTACTTTAATGCTAAACATAATGATGCGATTTAAAGAGTACGTATCCTTTTATTTTCGACTTTGTAAACAAGCGTTTAAAAAAAGCAATACAATAGAATATTGTTTTTAATTCCCTGATGTATTCTCGTCATTGCTTTATACCGTATTCGATAAATTAATCAATTACGGTAACATTTTGTTTCGACAAATCTACTACAAAATGGACAAACAGAGTTAAGAATCGCAATTCAATTTGAAAATCTTCTTTTAGTAATCACTTTCAGATTCATTGCTTGTTTGTTTCACTTTCATAATTCGGAGATCTAAGTCTTTAGCGAGTATTCATTTCAATGAAACTAATATTTTCGGGTTACTGCTCGTTATTATTTTTAAAACTATATCCTCCCGACTATAATTTAATATCTCGCCTGTCCGTAATCACGCTGGTTGAAAAGTAACAAAAGCGTCGGGAGTATGTATTTAAAATAATAAAATACGCGTATTATACCGAAAAATATTAGTTTCACTTTCTTAGTTCTTCTAAATCTCTTTTCATAGTAGTCTTGTGCTTCCAATAACAGATATTATTCCTAACTCATTGTCTGTAGCCGCGATAACGTTAATGTCTTGCTTTTATGTGTGCCTCTTCCTCTTAATAAGGGTTCTGAAATAACCCAGAAAGAGATGGGTTTTGAATAACAAATCCTGTTAAGGCAAAGGATATAATTCTGTTTATTTCCTGTTTATTTTTCAAAAAGGTTTCTTGAAGGGTCTAAATATATTAATACCCCGGCACTGCGACTACCGTCCGCGCTCGACCGTGGTAAATCCGTGTGAATTGGCCAAGTAAAAACTCAAAGTAAAATCTTATTATCTTCTCACATTGGTAAAAATAATACGGATATGAGAGTTATTACGCTTTCCAATTTGAATATATATTATTAAAATCTTTAGTTTGAGATTTGTATTGATATTTTTGGAACAATGTTCAAGAAGTAAATGGATTATTGCCATCGAAATTTCTTTTTGGTAGAAACAGACATACATGTATAGTAAAAATGATTTTTATACACGAAAGTCTTGAAAAAAGACACTTTCCCCTGCCTCTCCGTTGAACGGTGGCTAAAAAGTATTAGAAACGTCGAATTAATATAAAATGTTATAACTATACTTGGTAATATCCGAAAATAATGGTATACTTTCATTTAATATATAAAATTTTCATATCACGAATAAATCATGTAAAGTTGAATACAGTAAAATTAAATATATAATCCCAATTATTCTTTTATTATCATAATAAAGTTTGTTTTTATTTCAATAAAATTACATATAATGAACAGTGATATTAGTTACCTATATGTGATTGTATGAAAAGTATTGTAGTATACGTAATGTTTTTGTGAATTTCTTGTATGAGAGAATATTCGAGTCGTTAACATCGTTTATTAAACATAATTTCATAAAACAATCTATTCATGTTTAATAAAAACATTAAAATGTTTTCAATAGACGATTTCCATTCAAATTAGAGACAAATAACCAAGTGTGATGTCACAGAAGTATATAATTGTGATGATACGAATGTTCAACATAATTTATCATTGAATATAACGAAGGAGAAATGTAAAAATAAAACGTATTTCGTTGTTGTGTTCGATACAAAGGATGCCTTTGATATTGAGAGTATTGTTTTGATTGTAACAGTTGTTCGGATCTCATGAATTGGTAACGAACGTTATACATGTGTGATATCGAAGGTACTGTGTGATACAAGCGTTGTGTTCCTTAAATACCATGGCATATAACTTCTAATGTCATAGTGACCCAGCCTCTTTATGTTGCTCTGGGTCAATGAATAATTATATAGATATATTTAGTTATTATAAATATGACTTACAAGTTCATCCTTATTAAAGTTTATGATAGATAAATGAGCTATCTTATAACTAAAGTTACTTAAAAATTTATTAATTGAAAAACGTCTTTTAAAAGCATGCGAACACACACATACACACATAGACAGACAAAATTTCACAACATTAATCAATGTAAATATATTTATTATTTGTAACAATTTATTTATAAACGTCTTGATTTTATTGTTATAAATACAGTGTCAGTCTTATATTATTTCGACGCCCTTACATTTTTTGTCAACAAAACTTTTGATTTTCATGACATAAAATAAATCTTTCATAACCATTTTATAAAATAATAATAGATTTATATTCATTATAATAAATTCAATGTTTCAATATGAATAATATAAAAATAGATTTCTAGCAAACTTATTAGAAAACTACATTTGTACTTCGTAGGAAGTGTACCAAAAAGGTATCTCTATTTTAAAAGACGCTATCGAAATTTTTAAAAGAACTTAAATTTCATTCCGCAGTTTGTTATTCCAACAATGTCTTTTATCGTTGAACCCTGCGAGGAAACGCATTCTGTATGCAGCTGACGATGATGTTCCTTTGAAATGTTGGATATATAACACGTTCGTGTCATAGTTCATATCTAGCTTTCAAATAAAACGACACTTAAATTCTTATTTGGTTGTATCTATATTGTAAGTAACTATTACGTAATATTAGGAAATAAATCTTAAGTAAAATAAATGTGATATGAGAATTAAATACAATAAAATTTAACAGTACTTTATACACATTCAATTTAATTTAATTTAGTTGGTTTAAATTTAAAACAAAGTTTAAATTTAATTCATAACATAAATACCAGTTTTGTTATAACAAAATTTAAATTGATCTAAAAATTATGTAGGATTAAATCACGATTTCATGATTTAATATGAGCGTGTGTACTTTTTACAAACCGTGAATCCTTTGAACGTGAATAAAGACGCCTTCCTTTCACATAAATCCTAATTAGTGAGTCCCCGAAATATGAAATGTTTACACTCATTCAAAAACATCTCTCAGAATGAGGACTCATAAGTCATAATGTTTTCTTAATATACTTACGAGCAGCTGATGTCACAGAACTGGAAATGTATTAAATTTAATTTAACATCTTAATTCATATACTCGTTTTTAGAATTTTTATTTACGAATAGAACAATTCATTTAAATTTGACAGTAATATTCTCTAGGTGATATTTCTAAACGCGGCTGAATTGTTAAAGAATTAGATATAATCCTCATAAAATATGCCGTTTTAAGAGTATAATACTCTAATTATAATAATTACCGGATCTTCTATTGTTTGAGGATCTTTGTTTTTGTTCCTGTTAATTTTGAAACCTCGTTTCTCAGACCAGCGAAGGAACTCACAGAAAGAGTTTATGACCACTCATTTACATTTCTTTGTGTTGTTGATTATATATTTTTTTATTATTTATTATGTTAGTATCATTTTAAAACGAAATAGTTGTTAAATATATATTCATATATATTTAAGATTCAATTGCTTTCGTAATTATAAGGTCAATATAATTATTTACATTCGATTTATTTTATTTTTATTATTGGAGGTGAGTATTTGTGATAGAATACAACATTGCTATTTTACTCACAAACTAACGCACAACACTACGTTTACCAAATTACTTATCTATTTTCTTAATCAAACAATATTTATTAATTATTGCGTTTTTAATTTTGTTTAATGATCGTTATGCAGCATCTCGTAATGGGTATCAGTGTTTTGATGAGTGTAATTATTGTAAGACTTTACTTCTAAATTTTTATACAATAATATATTCCTTTCTTTCTTATTGTTTTCAACTCTGTTACTAAAAAGACTCTTATCGGCGAAGTGGCGAATAGCTACTGTTTACTATCAGAAAATCTATATTTGTGTTTTAAGATTTTGTTGCCACACTACTAACTTAAGCGTTTCACGTTTCTCATTCTATAACCTACGATAAGAAACGAAACTTCTTAACATTCCATGGATGGATTATGTTCTAAGAATGAATTGATTAGTTCTGTACAGACCCAAGTCTTTTAGTAGGTTGTAGACAGATTTGGCCGCTGCGAACGTATTCCTAGTGAGCCTAAAATATACTAAGATTTACGAATAAAAACTATTAATGCTCCATACATAGACTGACAATGTTGGATTAAGCATAAACACTGCTCGTTTGTGATTATCTTCAACAAAGAATATTGAAAGAAAATATCAAAGGTCGTGAGTAATTTACTCATGTGTATTTTGACTGTAAACAAAAAGTAGATTAAAACGATATAGCAAACAAAAATATAAACACATTCACATAAATATGAAACCGTTTCCACATTCAGTTCTGAGAAATAATTTCGGAGAAAATCGTGAATGTAAAAACAAACATGGATCTGTGCACACATTTCTGTGCAACTCTCAAAATTATATTTGATAAGTTCTTGTTATATTGATGTAAATATGATTATTAAAATTCGATTTTGTTTTAAGGCGTATCTTAGTTAAGAAAAATAGTACCCAATCGTTTAATGCTGAAAGATGTAATAAAGATGTAATAAATGTATTTAAAATAGCACTGAAGTAGTTTAGTGTTTAGAAATAATTTATGATTTTCATTGTGTTTTAATATATAAATCTAAAAATAAAGAAACAGAAGGGCAAACCAATAAATCAATTGTAATTAATAGATATATTATTAAGCCTATTTTTAGACATAATTAAGGAGTAGATTAAAAAAATATATTTTCATTAACGATAAGAATATTTAAAAATTATTTAAATCCGAAAAGTGCTATGAAGAGTTAATAAAAAGAAAAACGTTCTTTGTGTAACAAATTCTACATAGTTTGACAACAACATTATGTACAAAATAATAAAGAGACCGATAGTTATTAGTATTATTATAAATAGATAATAAAAATCACAATTATAACACATACGTACATCGCTACTTATGATAACTTATCATACACCGAGTGTATATCACAATAAATCACAAAAACTAACGGCTTATTGAGGATATTGTAAAGTTAAGGAAATGCGTGCATTGCTATTGTACGTGTTACAATTATGTGGTTTTGTGTACACTTTGAGGGGATATCATGAAGATGTGGGGATTCCGAAGGCTCGGCGTCAAATGATTCTGGAGATGGCGCCAAGAATTATTGGCGGGAGGGCTGTGTCCGCTATATCACAGTATCCATACCAGGTAAATAGTAATTTATCTATTGTGAACAAATTTATATATGTTATATTTCCACCAAAAAAAACACAGTTGCATAGTAATAATCATAATTAACCTTACAGAACTCGTGTTATTTCTTTGTTTCGTGACCATTTATAAATTTGTTATTATACAAAAGATTTGAAGAAAAAACATTTCAATTATTCACACTACTTAAGAAAATCAATTATGATAACCATCGAAATATGCATTTGATTGATATGTTGACGTGATTGCACCATATTATATACAAAGCAATGTAATATGTTGAAATGTTATAAAATTATATATTTTTGAAATATATATAGATAGAAACGAAACTACACTTCAAAAATTACTCAAAAGAATGTATTATCATAGGTAATCAAAATTTTATTATATTGAAGTCTAAATAAGTTTGGAAAATTTAATCCCAATTTAAAATTGTTATCATATTTTTTAAGCGATACCCCACTTGGACGTTTTAACAAAATAGTTTTAATGGCACTCTTCACCAGAACATTACTATAATAATTGTAAAAGAATAAATAATAGTTGTAAACTAAAGACTTAGATCTGGAAAATAATAGTATAGTTACTTGTAGATATATAAACATAAGTCTTACAACTGGAAAGTAGTAATAACGTTCCATTATTATAGGTTTGTTCTCTGTACATATTCATAATTCTAAGGACGTTTGAACCTAAAACCAAGATAATGATTGATTAAGTAAGAAATTCTTTCCTATGAATGGAATTCAATAGTTCGGATGGTAATTATATCTATTATAATTCATGTACAGGCTGGAATCGTGACCACTCTCACGACAGGTAAGACGTCTCTCTGCGGTGGTTCGTTGATATCAAGTACAAGAGTGATCACGGCAGCTCATTGTTGGAATGATGGACAGAGTCAAGCGTCGCAGTTCACTGTTGTTCTTGGTACACTCACTGTATTCTCTGGAGGCACCAGAATTACTACCAGGGATGTTACCGTCCATCCTCAGTGGAATACCAAAGCTATAACCAACGATATCGCGATAGTGAAGTTTCCTCGAATCACTCTTAATAGTAAGTCAAAAATTTTGGGCATAATATAAGTGTTATTTTTGTTTGGACATTATTAATCTTATTTATTAATGTACAGGCAATATTCAAGTGATATCATTACCTTCAAATTCAGACGTCTCTAATAATTTTGCTGGCACGACTGCGACAGTTACAGGCTACGGAAAAATAAGTGACTGTAAGTCATAATTATGGTTGGAAAAGTGAAATAATCTTTAAAATTATAATACGTATTTAATTTTTTTTAGCTCAAGCTTCATTTCCCCCTTCCACGACTCTGCACCATGTTAGTCTTAGCATCATAACCAATGCTGTTTGCCAGAGAAGTTTCGATTTGAAGTTGGATGCAAGTCATTTGTGTACCAGCGGAATGAACAGGGTTGGGACTTGCGATGGTGATTCAGGCGGACCATTAATGGTCACGTTGAATAATAAGAAGATATTGGTAATATATAAAATAGTTATTATTGATATTATTGTATCGTCAGGGGTTGTGCAAATCCGCGTCATCCGCGTAAACTAGCTATGTATAATTCCCCGTATCTGCAGTATAAGCAGATTAACAGAAAAAGGTTTATGCTGAAACATTTTCTAAATTATTAACAAAAACATCATTATATTCATAGAATAATTTAGTTCGACAGCAGATACGTGGAATTATATATTGCTATTTAAGCGGATTTGCACTATTCCCGGCGATATGTTATTGATAACTTCAATTATGGGATATTAGAAGAGCGAGCATTAATAATGATTCATTTTTGTTACGTAAAATGACGCATAGCGCATTGATTTTGGTACTCGTACCGCGATCTTTGTAATGTGAAGTCGAAGTGAAAGGGGAGTCAAAATTCAATCCACTTATTACAAGGGAATGTTCTTTGCTCGTGTGTTGATTATATATATTTTTCATTTAGTTTTGTATATGCCATTTATATAGGATATAACATTATACATAAACCTAGCATATAATTGTTATATAAGTGATTAATGTATTCTTTTCTTCTACTTTAGGTCGGGATCGTATCTTTTGGTTTTGGCGACAGTTGTTCCGCTGGTTACCCCTCAGTGTTTACAAGAGTCACGTCATACCTTCGTTGGATACAAACACAAATGTAACTTTTATAATACAATAAAATTCACAATACAGATGTAACAAGTATATTCTTGATTTATTAATTTATGATATTGATTTTTATTAAATTTCGTAGTATTTTTTACGTTTTGCAATGATTTTTTTAATTCATAATCTTTTTCTGTTCCCCTATCGCAAGTTGCATTACAGCCGACTTTTTAACAGAGTTATAAAAAAAAGACGCTCGCTAAATTATTAGAGGTCAGTTTGAGGGGGGGGGGATAGGCTTGTTAAAACTAACATTGTAATAATATTTAGAAAAGTCTTCTGTACATTGGTAATAATTTCAAACATTTTTTTTGTAATTTTTATATATAATAATCATAATAAGTGGTTTATATTATTTAGTATTATTTTGTATTGTTAAATATAGTCTTTGGCCTTAAAGTAAAATGATAGCAATGGTTCTTGAGTGAGTGTTTATAGAGTATTATCAGAAATATGGTTCGTTTCCAAGGCAAAAGACAAACACATTGGTAAGTCAACAAAATTTCAATTTCTCAATCTGTATCATTATATTGAAATTTACATTAGTTCTAATCTATTGAAACAAAAGTCTCTTCTACTAGGTTTAAAAGCTGACCCAATGAGACTTAAATATAATCAGGACAGATTTTTTTATATATGTACATATTTACAATTTCGATTTTAGAATCTGTGAAACATATAATATTATAATCCAACTCTCTTGAGATTCCATTTAATATATAATTATCTAAACATAATTTAAACTAAAGTTTAATTTAAACTTATAACTAACGTTTAAACTTCAAGTTATTGGCAACCTTAAAGTAAGGCAAACACGAGCTAATGTATAGAGTCCAGCGATCGTTAAGAGCCATTCTGTTAATGATTTGGTTAAGTTTCAAACAAAGGAATGCATCAGATGAAACGAGATTCGTGTTTGTATAGTTTATGAGAACTCTCAAACAAACTCCGCTGTTTATTTACTGTTATGTGAGATCGAGGAAGACATTTAAGAGATTAGCATAAAAAATATTTTTATATGAATACTTTAAAGATCCAATATAATAATATCAGTGGTGGCTCAGTTGTTAAAGGGCCCGCCTCTCGTCGCCGAGGGCGCGGGTTCGATCCTGGCCCGGGCAAGTACCAATGTGATTTTTCCGAATCATATGTACTTTCTAAGAGTATTTAGACCTCACTGATTAATGTTGATTCCAAAAAGAGGGTTGATGTCAGGCAGGCGGCCGGTCGAAAAAACAAATAGCCAAAAATATTCACAACATGTAAGGCAGACCCTGGCTGTAGCTGGGAAATTGTCAGGTAGAAGACAAGACTTTAAAGATCCAATGTTTGTATTTCTAAACACAGCTGCAAAAAATTTGTGTTGTAAGTAAGACATCAATGTCTTTCTGTTTGGATTTTTTCCAGTTCCTTGTGCTAGTACTTAGCTACGAGTATGTCTTGTTAAAATAAGCCCTTTCATATTTTAACTTATTTGTTTTAATACTTACATGTGGTCATTTAAATTGACTTTATCTCTTTGTTACTTTAAGGTTTTTTATTTTTCTATTAAAATGTAATCTTACCATTTTATTGTCTTTCTTTAACATGTTAAATCGTTGTTAGTATCAGTTTTGTTAAATGTAAGACATATCTGGCATGTAATTACCCGATTAAAATCTTTTTGCTTGCGTAATCTTTAAATTACTAAAAATGATTAGGGGGTTTTCCCTAAATATACCGTATTTTTTGTTATTTCACACTTCCTTATAAAAATATGAGACTAAGACCCAGTTTCACCAATCAATGTTTGTTTAGTCTAATCACAGCATTTACTAACCAACCTTCAAAATTATAAATGTTTGTTAAAATATTTACGTCCCGCGATGACAAATTAACAACGCATTATTAAACGTCATGTCAAATGACCGACTACCAAATTATTCGTTCTTGTTATAAGACGACCAAGTGGAAACTATAGCGTTTAACAAGGCACGTTTGCCACGATGCACCACTTTATACTTTGATCGTATATATCCCTCGATACGTCACTTGTAAGCCAATGCGACCAAATTTTATACATCGTTCGATGCATACATTTAGCACACAAGAAGCTTTCTTTTCAATTTACTAGGTGTAACTTGTTAAAATCGTGTTGTCAATAAATTGTGTTATACAGGGTGACTGGTGAATTACTATCGATACTTGAGGACGTGATATTTGACGATCATATATGACAAAATAAAAATTAATATAACATAAATATTAATAAACTTCTAAGTAAAGTTAACCAAAAGTTATGTAATTAATTACGCATCGTGTGTACACCCTACAGATTAGGTATACACTCACACACACATACGCATGCGGCGGCGTAGTGTTGTATCAGCACGCCGCCGCACGCGTCCACACTTGGAACACTTGGAACGTGTCCACACTTTATTTCTTTAAACGGAAATTTGGTCAAAAATTAACTACCTATTTTTTTACATAATTCGAATGAGAATCATGTACCGAGTATTCTCCTTAAATATTGATAGTAATTCACCAGTCACCTGTATATTATCGTGTTATAAATATAGACATAAATTGTGTTCTAATTATAAGAAATAAAAAGAAATCTTAACTTTCAGTGTTATAGAAAAGCTGGAGGCAAAATCATCATACTAAATGAAATTTTGATTCACTTTATTAATAATAACAAGGAAATAGTCGCAACTGACAAAACAGATGACGTTACTATGGTTACAAGAAATCAGGGCTGTGATTGGACAATTGAGTTTTGACAATGCCATTAACATTGGGTTAGTCATTTGGCCGACCGCTAGAGCAGGAATTAATATTAGTGACTGGTTAAGGCATTTAAACGGACATTTGTGCGTGGTGGGACGCTCGATACATCTAACAGAGCATCAAACGCCTTAACCCGATGTTACTTATTTAACCATGATTGGTGAAACTGGGTCTAAGCATAACAATTCAAATATCTAGAAAGTAAATTGACACAGAAAGTATTAGAATATATATATATTTAATTTAAACTTTTATTTATTATTTGAAGATTTTAATATAAAATATATATATTACTTTTCATATAATCTATAATCTATAGTGCTGTCAAAGAAGATCCTTTCATACATTAAGTAAAAGGATAAAATTTAAATAACTGCCAGTATTTTCATTGATATACTAAAGTAATCCCCGTTCTGGGGTTTAGGATGGATGATAAAACAAACCCTTTTAAATTTCAAGTTTGTGTTTAGACTTTATTCAAATATATTTTAGTGGTCTGGCTCCAGGAGCCCCTGGGATTACCTTAAACAATTTAGCAATTTAAAATAATACCTTAATGTCTAAAATTTTATACTAATTTTAAGAATATTGGTATTCACTTCAGATAAGAAATATTGGTGTTCACTTCTATGGAAATAACTATTGTATACTAACAAACCTTGGCTGTACAAAAACGTGTTTTATTTATAGAAGAAAACAGTGTACAGCTAATTCTAAGGATAAAAATTCTCTAAATATTTGTTTAAAATTAAACAGAAAAGGGAAAACTCTATTAAATCATAAAAATCTTCAAAATTATAAGTAACATTCTACATAAATATATATTATATAAAGTTTTATATATACATATAACTATACCTTATTCCCTTCAATTAAACTTGCGTTAACATGTGCAAAACAAAACATAGTTAAGCTTAAATTATTCTATATGAAATACTTTAAGAAACAAGAGATAAAAATTTTAATCAAAATGCTGTACCATATGTATATAAACGAAGAATTTCTTATTATATATAATCCAGTCACACATTCCGTTTAAGTTTCAAAGTGGTGCATGTCTAAATTAGAATCATTCGTGTATTCGTCGCCAACAGATGCTTCTGTAGTGACAAGTTACAGTCTCAGATACATTACACACGTCTAACTTACAAACAGCTCAGAGATGTAGCATGTTGTATGGAAATAGATTTATATATACATATGTCTATGTATATATTTAATTAATTTCAAAGACATTAATCCGAAAGGATTCGTTTTTAATTCATGTTAAAAATTCTAATTTAAATCCCTTCATCATAATCAGCCTATAGGAGCTCACTGCTGAGCAAAGGCCTCTTTTTACATGGAGAAGGCTAGAGCATTCATTACCACGCTTGCTCAAGACGGGTTGGTGATTTCAAACTTATAAATTGAAATTATAAGTCATAGTTTCCTCAATGTTTTCCTTTGCCTTATGTCAGTGGTGTCTAAATACTCTTAAAAAGTACATATGGCTTGCAAAAATCACATTGGTAACTGCCAGGTTTCGAACCCGCGCCCACATACACGAGTTTTGTTTTAGTTTCGGCTTGCCAGTTATGCGCGAGAAGCGTGCCTTTAATCTCTAGGCCACCACGATATTTGTTAAATATCTTAGTTATTGCATAATATTTATTAATAACTAGTAAACCCGGCGAACTCCGTTTCGCCACCAGAAGGTTTCTATATAACATTTCGTTTGGTGATTAAAAGATGATTTTTTTTTGTTTTATATTTGAAAAGAATTTTTTTTATTTCATTTCACAACAGTAATGAATTCATTTCGATTACAAAAATGAAGTGTTATTTAGTTGAACTTCTCTAAGTAAATGAGAGTGAATCCAAAGTAGATACCGAATCGAAGCGTTATACGTGTTCGAAAATTATCCGTTTCATTGAAGTGGTCCTTTGTAAACCACATTTTTTGTTTATTGGTCTAACTTCAACACAAATAAAGCGGATGGTTTCCAAACTCGTGAACACGCAAAATATAACGCCCGTGTGAAAAACAATGATTTTCTAAATTTATCCCGCAAATACTAAATGGTTTTAAGAGTTCAAACTACAAACACAATACCCGTTTGTCATATGATATTAACTGAGCAAAGAACAATGAGTAGCTGTCAAACAATGTATCATGCACCGGTGCCATCTACTTAAAATATTAATTTGTAGTACATGTTATGTATGATGACGCTGTATGTGA